AAGTCCGGCCGGCAACCACGCCATTTTTCTCATAAAACGCATTGGTTGTCCATCGTATACCCCATCGCTGGATAATGTGACTGATACTTTAAGGACTACTTGGCCGATATGAACCGATGTTGGGGCATCGTTAACACCACGGATTACTACCGATTACCACCAGTCTACGGCTACCGGCCGGGAAATGTGACCTAGGCATTACACTGTAAATGATACAAACTATCAGCTGAAAGCTATTACCGTATAATCCATATTAACTGCCCCTGCCCCTATAAGCACCCCCTTAGGTCTTTTTCAATTGTCAGGAAATAAGGGCTCCCTGTACAGTGTATAATAAACAAGAATCGTATCAAAAAATTGAAGAAAGTGAAAGCGAAACTTGTCCATTATCTAATTTCTCAATTGAAATTGAATAATTTAGCATAATTTGGTTGGATTATCTTCACTTTAAGTAAAGTTAGACATTATTTTAGTAGTTAGTTTCTTTTATTATCCCCTCACGCAACTAGTTCGGAGGGGATATAGCATCGCGAATGTGCGTATGTGTGTGTGTTAGTGTGTTAGTGTGTGTGTTCGTTACACTTTGTGGGCAAGATTGACAAAGAACCTTTGCATTAACCATTCTCAGCCTTTACATACTTGTGTGGCAGTATAAAAGGACGAAGTCATTCATTTTCAAGTTCGTTGATGAAATATAACTTTAGATATCGCGTTTTTACTGCCTCGAAACCTTGACCTTTTATGTACGAGTTGACAATAATCATTTGTGGGCAAGATTGACAGAGATCCTTTGCATTAACCACTCTCGGCGTTTACATACTTGTTTGGCAGTGTAAAAGGACGAAGCCTATTCATTTTCAACTTCATTGATGGTATATTTCTTCAGATATTGCGTTGTACCTGTCTCGAAACTCCGACATTTTATGTACGAGTTGACAATAATCATTTCCGTTAGGGAACCAGTTAAAAGCCGTGTCGAGTCTGCGGTAACCAGATTAAAAGAATTTGATGAAGGTCGTGGTTTCATTACCAATTCGAACAGGTGTCTGGGAAGTTGGGGTTCACGTTATTCCTGAAAGCTGTAAATGCAATCCACAAGTAACCTCTCAATTTTTATTATAAATGCATATTGCCTGGAACTGTGAGAAATGTACTTTAGTAGGTACCGTAGGTAAATAATTTAAATTACTGAAACTTATACATGTACTGTAGCATACGTGATATGTTTCTGCTAGGTATAAGGGAAACTGCCCAATTACATATGCATATTATGCCCCCCGCCCCCACCCCTCTAAAATTCTATTCAATTTGATTTTTGTTAAAAATAGACACCCCCACCCCCGATAATTTTGTTAAAAAAATAAAATGTGCTCAAAAACGATTTCATATCTTGTATTAAACTTTATTACCCCAAAGTAGGTATTCTTGTTGTGCCCCCCCCCCCCCCAACAAAGATGCTATGCACTGCATTTTTAGGTCACCTGAGTAAACTCAGGTGACCTATTGCTATCCGTTTTCGTCCGTCGTCGTGCGTCGTCCGTTAACATTTGAACATTTTCAGCTTCTTCTCTGCAACCACTGAACCAATTTCAACCAAATTTGGTACAAAGCATCTATGGGTGAAGGGGAACAAAAATTGTGAATTTCATGGTCCCTGCCCCCCTGGGGCCTGGGGGGTGGGGCAAAAACCACTAAAATTAATGCAATCTTTAAAAATCTTCTTCTTTACTCCTGGACATCAAGCAGTTAAACTGTTTGCATGATTGTAATCAGCATTGAGTCCTCTACCAAAATTGTGAAATTTATGGCCCCAGGGTCAGGGGTTCTAGTGCTAGGTTGGGGCTAAATAAGTATATAGTGAAAATCCATTATTTCTTTGAAAATCTTCTTCTCTGCTTCTGGGTATTAAATAAACTAACTAAGAGCATAGTTATGATGAACAAGAGTGCCTCTACCAAAATTGTGAATTTTATGGCCCTAGGGTCAGGGGTTCTAGTGTTAGGGCGGGGCTCTATAGATTATATAGTGAAAATTCATGAATTCTTATAAAATCTTCTTCTCTGCTCCTGAGTATTAAATAAACTAATTAAGTGCATAGTTATGATGAGCAAGAGTGCCTCTACCAAAATTGTGAAATTTATGACCCCGGGGTCAGGGGTTCTAGTGCTAGGGTGGGGCTTAATAAGTATATAGTGAAAATGCATTATTTCTTTGAAAATCTTCTTCTCTGCTCCTGGGTATTAAATAAACTAACTAAGTGCATAGTTATGATGAGCAAGAGTGCCTCTACCAAAATTGTGAATTTTATGGCCCCGGGGTCAGGGGTTCTAGTGCTAGGGCGGGGCTCTATAGATTATATAGTGAAAATTCATGAATTCTTTGAAAATCTTCTTCTCTGCTCCTGATTATTAAATAAACTAACTAAGTGCATAGTTATGATGAGCAAGAGTGCCTCTACCAAAATTGTGAAATTTATGACCCCGGGGTCTGGGGTTCTAGTGCTAGGGTGGGGCTAAATAAGTATATGGTGAAAATGCATTATTTCTTTGAAAATCTTCTTCTCTGCTCCTGGGTATTAAATAAACTAACTAAGTGCATAGTTTTGATGAGCAAGAGTGCCTCTACCAAAATTGTGAATTTTATAGCCCCAGGGTCAGGGGTTCTAGTGCTAGGGCGGGGCTCTATAGATTTTATAGTGAAAATTTATGAATTCTTTGAAAATCTTCTTCTCTGCTCCTGAGTATTAAATAAACTAAACAAGTGCATAAGTATGATGAGCAAGAGTGCCTCTACCAAAATTGTGAAATTTATGACCCCAGGGTCAGGGGTGCTAGTGATAGGGTGGGGCTCTATTGATTATATAGTGAAAATACATTAAATCTTTGAAAATTTTCTTCTCTGCTCTTGGGTATTAAGCAGATGAACTACCTATGTAGTTATGATGAGCAAGGACCCTAATCTTCCAGAATTGTGAATTTCAAGGCCCCAGGGTCAGGGGTACCATGGGGGGGGTGTACTTATATACTGAAACTGGATGAATTGTTCGAGATCTGCTCCTTGGTATTAATCAAATATTTTTGAAAAGCAAGGGTGCCTTTTCAAAAATTGTGCAATGTGTGGATCTAGGCCTAAGGGTCAGGGGTTCATGTGTGATTGGGGCATTACTGATTATTGCTGAATATTACTGATTACTTGAAATGCATTTTTTGTTCCCACACCCTGCCTATGGGTATTAAGTAAACAAACTAAGCAACTGCTAAGTGTATTGTTATGATGATCAAATGGTGCCTCTTTCAAAATTGTGAATGCCATAGCATCTTGCTTAAAACATTAATCAAATTAAATCGCTGGAAAGTTGTTGCATAATGCTCAGGTGACCTATAAGGCCCATGGGCCTCTTGTGTAAAAAAAAAATGGATCAACAACAACACCCCGCTAATAATTTTGTCAAAAGTATGGGAGGTGATCCAAATGTTGCGGGTTTGAATCCCATGCACCGTGCTACATGGAGACTGATCCTTTGAATGAGACCATGTAAACCGAGGGCCTATGTCCCAATAGATGCTGGCACAAAAAGGTCCCTCACTGCTCGATGGCTTCCAGTGTCTATAATTATACTAGGAATGTGCATCTCTCCTGACCGGCAAGTTTTCATATGAGCAAATAATTAAATATTCCTGAGAAGGGCATTAAACAAAATACATTGTACTATCAATCTTTAACATGTTTAACGTCCATCAAGAGAATTTATCTCTCTTGAGAGATTGCCATTTCCAGTGAAGTTCCTGTCGCGAGGGGATGCTCCGCTTCGCGGTGCCCTTGTTTATATTTTTTTCTAAAAGATTTTTTTAAGTTTATAAATATGACATTAAATATTACAAAGAGACCAGAATACCAAAATAACCACCCCCTTTTTGCAATTTTCTAAGTGCCCAGGGCGGTTAATAGGGATTATACGGTAATTGTTCTCAGTAAGATAAAAGTGGTTCCAAAAATTTGTTCTTTCCTGAAATGATACTGCAAACATATATGAAATCTGAACAACATGGACCTGAGTACAGTAAAATCTATACTGGAACCAGGATGTTTATACAAAATAAACCAGTGACATTTGTTTTATTGAAGTCAGGGAAGTAATTGAATTAAAATTTTTATAGACACTTGAGAAAGGCACTGTGTAAAAGTCATAAATCTCAACAAGGAAGGTAACCAGGGCTTAATATAATCTGATTGGTAGAGCATTCACAGTATTATTTCAGAAAAAAATCCCCTCTACATTTTTTATACTAGTGGAATTGAAGCATATTAAGTATCGGCTAATTAATTTTGTGCCTTTAATTTCTTAAATATGACCAGGAAGATCATTTAGGCAGACTATATGGAAGCTCAATAATGTGCAAAACATTGCTTAAAAAATTTTGGGTTTTCATGCACATATCTAGTACAACATATCGAGAAATGATCAAAAGAAAAAAAAGATACATATATGTACTAGGTTTTACATATTAGGTAAAATGTATTCATCTGTAATATTATTTGTAAAGTATTTAACATATAAACATAACAGAATGAAATTTTCATGCAACAGTCAAAAGGGAATATAGAGTTAAAAATGTTAATGTACTATCTAAATGCTGTTGATACTGGAGTACATAATACTAAGGAATTAAAAAAAAAACAACTTTCACTTTAAGAACAATGAAGACAAAAAAATTTCAGAATTGTCACATCTGCTTGCTTCTATATGGCTGAAAATATGGATCATGGAATAGAGGGCTTGAATTTTTCCATAAAAGTGAACTTCCTGGCGCATTAAAAATGCATGATATGGCCTCTAAAATTCAAACGTATTAGTTCCTGCATCACTTAAAATGCAGGTGAAAAAAATGAAATTTCTCAATATATGCAGGTAGATGACTTTAGGTCGTTATTTTCTTATAGCTGATTATTTAGTGACGTACAGCAGTATAGTAATGCCTATATAATGTTGTCTTCGTCAGATTACGTCCCGTAACTATGTTTTGGCGATGGAGTACTGTGACGGGGGCAGCCTGTATTCCATGTTAGATCAGCCCAGGTACTTCTACGGCCTCCCCGAAGAAGAGTTCCTGATTGTGCTATATGACATCGGTAATGTTTATATTTCTGTGTTGTCTTTGTAGAAGATGTAATGTTCCTGGTTACCATAGATTCTCATATTGACAATGAAGTTTTCTAATATGTACTTGTATGCCTATATACACTGCACATGTATCAGCTAGTGCATACTTTATGTTACACAAAAACACACAGATATACTCCCTGCCCTCTTGACATCATCACATTATCACAAATTACTCATACTGGCTTTTGAGAGTGTGCATGTTGATCAATTTTTTGACTGGAGGGCACCTGAGGTAACAAAAATTAAAACAAAGTTTCTATGACTACTGGTATGTAAAAGGTCGTGGTTCTCAAAGTATTTGGAATAGATGTGTACAAGTTTGAGATGGCACTTAATTAATAGACTAATACGTACCTTTGCAGAAACTTTAGGAATCTTGTATAATATATAGGTGTAATTCACCCTCTTTGTCTTAATTTTATCTGGTCAACTCTGTTGCTTCACTGGGAATGAAAATTTGAGCTGTAAATTAAGTGCTGGAAAACGATGGTGTGGAACAGCTTTACAGCACATTACTTCAGTTTTATTCTGAAAAAAAAAAAATAGTGATATGCAAATATACTTTTGTTCTGAATAATCAGAAAGCTATACATTCCTTAAGGGTATGGAAGAATTAACCACTTAGTTCTCTTCTGTATTAATTAAATTAGACAATTTAGTTAGAAGTTTCAGTAAGTTTAGGTTTCAAATCCTTACAAGAGTGAAATATGTCTTGGATGCATGGCTCTGGAATTACAATTGAATTCTTGATTTATACATATAATATCATGTCCGTTTAATTTTGGAAGGGGGGGGGGGGTTGGGTTGGGTTGGAAGATTGATGTTAATATATCTGAAATTTCTTGAAATATCATATACATTATTGTATCTTCATTTTTTAAGACAAAAAGACAAAAAAAAATATTATTGTATTTCTTGATACAGCATCAGGGATGAAGTACCTAAGGCAGGAGGACATCATTCACAGAGATATTAAACCTGGCAACATCATGAGAAAGATTGATGAAAACGGGAGGTAAATATCACTACAAAGGCTCCAAGAGTTAACTCAAAAAATAAAAACTTTCAATTGTAAAATCATGTACTTTGGAGTTATCTAATATTAGGTGCTAGTATTTTGAGTTTCTGATAATCACATACCAACAAACATTCATTTGTATACCAGTTTGAAATGTCTTTGGAATGTAACTGTTAAGGTTAACAAGGGCACTGCAAAACAGAGCAACCCATTCTCAGAAATGGCAGGTCCTGGTAATTCCAATGGAATTACTTATTCTGTTATGCATGATCCCATCCACCCACTTACACACTCACATTGAAAAACTTCACAATACTGAGAGGCTTATGAAATAAGCTCAAACATTCTTTACTGTCAATTAGCATTTTGATATATAGAGAAAGGAGTCACAGTTTTTGCATTTTTTCTGCCTGGGAATGTGTGGCTTATGCTGCTTTCCCTCCTCCATTTTGAAAAGATTTACTATCCTCATAAACAAATACTGACATTTTGTCAAGTTTAACTTACACAAGACATACACCATGTATACTTTCCATATTAAAATAAAAAGAAATATGTACATTAGCCACAAAAAGAGTGAGTTTTTTTCTCCTTTTTTATTAAAGTTTTCAAGACTTTTAATTTTTAAATTTTGAAAATTACTATCTTAATTGATCTGTTTGATGAAAGACTAGCATTCCATATTTATGTCTTGTGGATTTTTTAGAGGTGGTTATAACGGTACTTTATGAAAGCACTTATAGATTACACTTTGTCAAGTTTTAGTGTACATGTACTTGATTGCATAATAAACGTGACAAAAATTTCTAAAAGTGTTTTGGTTATTGCATCTGAAAAGATGGAATCTTAACTAACTGAATTTTTTTTTGTTCTTATCCTCGTGCATAGTCATAAACTATAATTATATGCATACCGATCCCGATGTCAAAAATGATAACCTCGTCTTGTAAAAAGAAAATTCAGAATATGGCACAGTTATCAGGGGATGCCATCAAAGTTTGAGCTTCTCATTTACTTTTTTTATCCAAAGATCCCACTTTTGTGTTATGACCTGTCTATAATATTTTGCTCATTATTCAATTAAGCCTTAATTACCTGACTTTTAACTTTGGACATTTATAATGTATAAAAAATATTGTTATTTTATACTTGAACAGGTGGTATCTTACAGTTATACTATAATTATGTATAAGGTGTCCTTTAATATTTAACTACTGTACATGTGTGTTATAATGTCATCTCAGCAAAGGTTTAAGTCAATGGTGTGGGAGTGTCAAATTCTTGTCTCTTTACAGTAAATTTCCAAGTAATGCCATAAAGGAAACTCAAATACCTAGAACCATGCATGGTCATTGACAATGGTGAATTGAAGGTGCAGATAAGAAGAGTTAGACCCCCCTTCCTATTTTCTGTTTATGTTAAAAAGCTATTCATATATAACTAAATTTAACAACTTTAACTTGAGGTCTAGCTAACTTTACATCAGTTAATTTCAAACACTCAGAACATTCCAAGTGTCCCACATTCCTCAAAACCTAACTTAATTGTGTAACAGCTTATAGTTTGCAGTGCTAATGCACTGCATCAAGTACATTATCTGCAATAAATTCTAAACTATGAGTACTAACAGCTAGGGTCTAATATGTAATTTTTTAAGTAACAGTTATTCCCGAAATTCTTGTTTTTTTTGCAGTTTTATTGATTAAAATGGGAAATTTTCCAATACATGCTTGTTAAATCATTTATGAAAAAATGTGATCGATGCTTCTGTATTTAGAAACATGTATGGGGAATCAATTATTGAGTTTCTAATGCATTCAAAGAAATGCCTTCATTATAATCATTATAATAGTTTACTGATTATTTTCGTATTAGCATTCCTTGAACTTTAAATACAAAATGTTACCAGGAAAAGGCACGGTACTTGGCATGAAAAAAAAAATGTAGCCATAAATTTATTTCTCATGATAGCTACCCCCCAAGACAATGGGGCATTCCAATGTTTACCGAATTTGTTTGAAAATATATAAATAGGAACTGCACCTACCTAAATTCTCTGAATTAAGCCCCCAGAATCACAGTGTTAGCCTACTGTGGTTTCTAAAGCTTACTGTGTGGAAGTACGTGATTTTCCTGTACAAAATGCATATGTTACGAATACAGTTGAATCTTTATCAGAAAAGAAAACGCAAAAATGTACAGGAGTGTCCCCATAGTTCTGGTCAGGTATTGGAATGCCAACTCTACTAACTATAGATGATAAACTTTCTCATATATTAGTACAGGTATTACTTTAAAGATGACATTAACTGTCATCTTTAAATACGTATAAATGAATAAAGATATAGTATTAAATGAATAGAATGAGCAAAAGATTTTTCCAATTTTACATGCAGTGCCCTTATATATGCCCTGTACTTAGTGAACTTTCAATAGTTATTTAATCAAACAGTTTCTCATACTTGTGGGATTTTCCAGCTAAAGAGCCTTGGGAAGCATATGTTTTTTTTAAATGAAGTGTTTCCCCCCACTATGTGATATGACTTTGAATACCATGCAGGCGTAGGCTTACAGTCACGTACTCAGTTCTTTATGTGTATTATTTAGCTGATATCCTTAAAAACGATGTATATTCATTTCTTAAATCATAAAGTGGCAAATCAAAGTGGCTAAGTGCACGTAAAAATATTTTATTTAGCAATTTGAAATTTGAATATCAATGGCAGGAGTGGCCTGGGTTTGAATTGACGCTTCAGTGCCATAGCCTTAACAACTTAACATGTTAAATAAAATAAACACAAATCAACATCCAAACAACCAAATGCAATGTATTTTTAAAGTGCATGCATGCATCTAAATAAATGGTCTTTTAAGTGCATTTAAATAATTAATTAAAAAACCTTTAGATATACCTGTAATTTTTAGAACTTTAAAGAAATCCCTATAGATAAGACGGCCGTAAACATCCTGTGTCATCTTGTTCCTCTACCGGTAGATGTCATTAAAGTTCTTGAACTTCCGCTTCACAATACATAAGTTAGAAAACATATTGTTTTGATTTGTCTGCACTAAATAAACCAATTATGTGTTAAAATCTAGGACATCTTATTATTAGCATTTTTTTATACATTAAATTTTAACGTACTGGCAGGTTAACACATATTTATGCATTTGTTTTCAGCAATAAAAATTTAAAGGACTTATCTGAACCCATTTATCAAGGAATGTCTGTCCACTCCACAGAATTAGTAAAGTGTCGATAATAATCTTTACTTGTAATGGAGAAACTTCGAAGCTAACTTTAAATGTTTTTAGGACCTCCAATTAAGGTCAATGGGAAAATTATAGACTGATTGTATATTTACTGTAATGAATTTAAAGTGCATTCATTTGTCATTTTTTAGCTCACCTGAGCTGAAAGCAGAAATGAGCTTTTCTGATTACCCATTGTCTGTAGTCCGTCTGTCTAGCTGTCTGTCTGTCTGTAAACTTTTCACATTTTTCAACTCCTTGAGAACCACAGGGCTAATTTTATCCAAACTTGGTACAAAGCATCCTCGGGTAAAGGGAATTTTAGATTGTTAAAATAAAGGGCCAAATCCCCTTCCAAGGGGAGATAATCAAGAAAAAAACAATAATAGGGTTGGGTCATTAAAAAATCTTCTCAAGAACCACTGGGCCAGAAAAGCTGAAACTTATGTGGAAGCATCCTGGGGAAGTGTAGAATCTAAATTGTTCAAATCATGCCCCCCTTGGGGTAGGACGGGGCACAATCGGGAATCCAAGTTTTTACATAGAAATATATAGAAAAAAATCTTTAAAAATCTTCTTCTCAAGAACCACTGAACCAGAAAAGCTGAAACTTATGTGGAAACATCCTGGAGTAGTGTAGAATCTAAATTGCTCGAATTATGACCCTTTATGAATTAGGCAAGGTCAAGATAGGTATTATGAATGGGGAAATCTGCTAAATAACATAATAGCCAAAGTTACTCAGTTGAGCGATGTGGCACATGGGCCTCTTGTATTTCGTAGTAAAAAATCTTCTAAATTATATGTTCAAATTTATACATTACAGGAACTCCATGCAAACCATTGATTTAATTAATAATAAATGTTTACAATCAGTTGGAGACATATGTCTTCAAATCCTAGGGGTATATGTTACTCAGTGACATTATATTCACCACTACATTTCTTTCTTAGATCAATCTACAAGCTGACAGACTTTGGAGCAGCCAGAAAGCTAGAAGAAGAGGAAACATTTACATCTATATATGGAACAGAAGAATATTTAGTATGTTATACAATTTATATTGAGGACAGGAATAGATGTGATCAAGAATTGTTCAAATTTTTTTGTTAAAGATAATGCAATGCAGACTCAAAAAATGATTTGACAAATTTGCAGGATAAATTTAATAAAAAAACTAAAATTTGATTGAATGTGAGAAACTAAATTACAGTTCTATAGCCAGTTATTTTTGCAAACCATTACATGATACACATCAATTCCAGTTATGAATTTTGATAAAGCTGCATAATTAGGTACATGTAGGTATTATCTGTACTTATCAGGATCCCAACATGTATGAGCGTGCTGTTTTGCGGCGACAGATAAGTCAGGACTTTGGAGCCGTGGTAGACCTGTGGAGTCTGGGGGTGACAATCTACCACACGGCCACGGGGCACCTGCCATTTCAACCGTACGGGGGGAGAAAAAATACAGAAACAATGTAAGTATACATACTCATAAATATCTACCACATTGTCACGAGGCAACTGCCATTACAACCTTACGGGGGAAGAAAGAATATGGAGACAATGTACGTATACATACTCATAAATATGCTAAGGGGCACCTACCATTACAACCATACGGGAGGGGGGAATACTGAGACAGTGTAAGTACACATACTCATAAATATCTACAACACTGCTACAGGGCACCTACTATTCCAACCATAAGGTGGGCTTAAGGAAATACACAACATGCGCACAGCACACAGAAGAAAAGTATAAATTTCTGTTATTTAGAAATATTTTATATATTCTACTGTACTTTTAATGTCTTATGCAGACCTATAATTGTTAATTCAGAGATAAATCTGTTGATTGTTTATTTGATAACAGGTATATGATCACCACGCAGAAGGCCCCGGGAGTGATATCTGGGATACAGAGGACAGAGAACGGAGAGATCGAATGGAAGACGGACCTACCACGCACCTGTCTACTGTCTCCGTAAGTTAACAAAACACACATGAAATAAAAATGCACAATCATTCAAACGAAGGAATCTAGATAATGTGACCCCCATTATGCACTGTATTACAGATTTCTGAAGTCAATCGTGACCCCCATTATGTCTGGTTTATTGGAGAGTAATACTACACTGAGATGGACCTTTGAGAAGTTTTTTGAGACAGTCCAGTCACTTAGAGAGATGATCACTATCAAGCTGTTCAACTGTTCATCAGGGTCCAACAACAAAATGTACATCAATAAAACCGATAGGTAAGACCAACAACAAAATGTACATCAATAAAACCGATAGGTAAGAACATACACTTCTGGGCCAACAACAAAATGTACATCAATAAAACCAATAGGTAAGAACATACACTTCTGTGACAACAACAAAATGTACATGTACAACAATAAAACCGATAGGTAAGAATATACACTTCTGGGCCAACAACAAAATGTGCTTCAATAAACCTATAGGTAAGAACATACACTTCTGGGCCAACAACAAAATGTACATCAATAAAACCGATAGGTAAGAACATACACTTCTGTGACAACAACAAAATGTACATGTACAACAATAAAACCGATAGGTAAGAACATACACTTCTGGGCCAACAACAAAATGTGCTTCAATAAACCTATAGGTAAGAACATACACTTCTGGACCAACAGCAAAATGTACATCAATAAAACCGATAGGTAAGAACATACACTTCTGGACCAACAGCAAAATGTACATCAATAAAACCAATAGGTAAGAACATACACTTCTGTGACAACAACAAAATGTACATCAATAAAACCGATAGGTAAGAACATACACTTCTGTGACAACAACAAAATGTACATGTACAACAATAAAACCGATAGGTAAGAACATACACTTCTGGGCCAACAACAAAATGAACAGTCTGACACAATCAATGAATAGAAATTTATACATGTACCACTTACGGAATATGCATGACAACTAAAAGAAATTATTTATCTATCGTTCTGTTGATGAAATCATCATTGTTGGTGGGGGACCGCAATTAATGTTCCTGGATTTAAAGGATCACCCTTATCCACAAATTAACATCCCCATTATCATTATTTTGTTCAATATGTAAACTTAATCATTGATTTTTCTGAAGATACAAATAACCCACAGATGTGCGTCTCCACGAACCAACAAAATTTTTTTTGCCCATGAACATTGACCCCCAAGAATTCTAAATCTGATTCCACAGTATTTATAAAAATATTTCAACAGTTTAAGCACCCATTACAATTTTATATTTTTTTGCTTATTCTTGAAGGTTTGCTAAGTGTCAGGAGCTGATCGCCAAGGAGACGGAGATAGCAGCCAGTGAACAGCTGATTCTGTACCATAACCGGGAAATCAGCGAGGTCATTGACATGACGGCAGAAATCCAGAACTGGCCGAAGAATGTACTGCACGGCCAGCTGTATCTGTATCAGAGAGAAAGGCTGGATCAGCAAAAACTTAGTCTGCCTGAAATACGTAAGTCTGTAAAACAGAGAGTAAGAGAGAGAGAGAGCGAGAAAAAGAAGAGAGAGAGGGAGGGGGGAGGAAACTTAGTCTGCCTGAAATACATAAGTGTAAAACAGAGAGAGATTGGCAGAAACTTAGTCTGCCTGAAATACAGACTGAGATAAGTTAAACAGAGAGAGAGAGAGAGAGAGAGAGAGGCTTGACCAATAGAAATTTAGTCTGCCTGAAATACATGTACATAAGTAATTTCACTTTAACAGAGTTTTAATGTACTGTGAAATCACTAATTTTTTTGTGGGGGGTTAATTTTTTTTTTGATATTAATGATGAGACCCACGAAATTCATGTCCACCAATGAAATGTAAAATGTGATCATATAGTTACATAACTTATATTAACTACTGAACATATTTTCACACAGAAAATTCAATCCCTTTAAATCTTAGTTTTCCCTTAAACCTTTTACTCCATGAAAATATGTGATTTTACAGAATATTGTCTGTCGATCAGTTGTAGACATAAAAAGTCAACGTTTGCATATACTTATTCTTGTCTAGTTCATGGATTGATGAATTTACCTACTATTACAAAGCTTATAAAAATGTCTAGATTGATGACTGATAAAATAGCTGTTGTAATTTTTGAAAAAAAAACTTGAAATTATTTGAATGGAATAGTTATTTTTGGGAATTCTAGTGCTGTACTTTATCATGACAAATGTACATAAAACTGTCTGACAGGTTTTTCGACATTCCATGTTTAAAATACTATCATTCTAGTTAATATATATCTGATATTTATGTAGGCTGGATCATATACTCACAGTTTATCTAGAGGGTGGACATATAAACCAGTGTAAAAGAAACAATTAATTACATGATTGTATATAATTATACAGCATATTTGAGTAGATTTAGAGCTTGGGTAATGTCATTTTTTAAGAAGTTGAAGGTTTAGGTTGTCATAAATTATTGCTGGGTGTCATGTACTATTAATGTTTCCCGCCTAAATTTTCTGTGGTTTGACAACTCATGCTTTGAAATGTTTTTTTCCCCTTTAGATCTTGATCCTTCACCTGAGTGTCTTTATCAGATAAATGTTATCTAACACTCATCTGGGTGAGGAGTGTTTTTAAGGAATCCATGGTTTAAGGATCATATGATATCCTTTTCTGAATTCTTTTCAGTACATGTTTACTTGGCTATGCCAAGTACATTGATTTGAACATGTGGAGTTACATGTAGCAAAAACATAATAACAGGAGAGCAATGTGTCACATGTACTGTTGCTGACAACCAAAATTTTTTTTTAACTGTTATTAGAGAACTGGGGAAACAATTGTTAGATTAACTTTGAAGGGGCGAATCTGTAACACGTACGTACTATTTGTTTCCACCCAATATCTTGAGAAGCCTTGAGTTTTTGAAATGAAAATTAATTAAAAATATAAAGTCCCTGTGGCCTACGGAAGACCCCCTATTTAATTAGAGATCAAAAGATCATAGGTCAAGGTCATATAAATTTATACATAGTTACTGACTTTCAATTACCTAGCAATATTTCAAGAAGCTTTTGCAATGAAATTGTTTACCATATAACTCCCTATGGTTCTATACCCACCCCTATTTTAAGAAATGTCATAAAATGTGATCCAATGAGCATCTGCCTTAGAGTTGGCAATAGGGGCAAAAAGCAAGAAATAAGCCTTATTGTTCATAGAGTTGAAGATTTAAATTATTGATATCATGACACATGTATCGTGGTACCTGATCCCACCTCTGATGTTTTGGAGCTCCATGTTTGCTCTATTCCTGTTTTGTATTGTTTTATGGACTTTGAGATTGAATACTGTTCCTTATCTCCATATCCTTCCTTCATCATAGCCAAGAAGTTTATGTATACTTAATACTTAATACTTTTGATTATTGTGGAATATGATTTTTATATTAATTTGCACAGCAGAAAAAAATATATATCACCTGCCAAATGTTGAGCAAATCAAGAGGCTGCAATCCACCTGTTTGTAGGCATATGTTAGATGTGAATTTGACACAGACTGAGTCATTTTATACCTATTAATAAACCAAAGGCGTGAAGCTTTTCATCCACCATTGTTTAATATTTGATGTGAATCATTTATCCACAGAAGCTGCATGCATGCAGGCACTTCAATGGAAATTAGAAAAAAAATAAACTTGAGGAATTCCTCAAGTAATATTAATATGAATATTTATTCCGTAAGATTATTCTTTAACATTGCAGTATTACTTTTCAATGCAAAATGAATACATTGATATTTTGATTTAGAAAAAGATAGACCAAGCATGTATTATGCATTTACCAGTATGCATCATGAAATGTGATTATTACTATACTTGATTTTGTTCAGAAAAAGTGTACATTTACCATCTGCTGGGGGACCATTGAAATCTTTTGTTCTGATAAACTAACTGTATAGGTATTCTTTTGTAAATTTTTAATATAGGAGCATGTTATATTTTTGTAGATAATGCAGTGTTTACATTAAAACCTACTTATTGTGTTAACAGTAGAATTCCTCTGCACAGTCCAATTTATGCATTCAATGTATATTTTTAAATAACGCTAAATAATCAAAATACACCTATTTTCTCAGGCTTAATTACATGTACTATCAGCGTTAGTTCATGGTTCTCTTTGTAGCGCCCATTCCCCAGTTCTTCAGCAGTACCCCTATTTCGTATGATAAGGATGCCTACGTGGCCCATAAGACGTGTGCAATCGCTCACCTTACTGTGCAGTACGTCACCCTGTCTATTCAGGAACAGGAACTCATGCAGCTGGCCGAAATATCACTGAGGTAACAATACTGACCCAATGTAGAAGAGATTCTGAAAAAAAAATATATATATTTACATGGGTTGATCCAAAAGAAATTTCACAACTTCAGAAGAATTGATAAAAGTAGATGTACAACAACAAATTTTAATGCCCCCATATTGAAAGATCCCAGGGGTATATTGTTTTTGTCCTGTCTGTCTGTCTGTTGTTTACTTTAACCTTGCCCATAACTATTGCGCTGTCAATTAAGGGTAAGGATTTAATATATCTGTTTGGTCTTTTTCATCCTAAATCATTATTCTTTAAAATGTGACATTTAGTTGTGACATGGTGAACCCCCTGTGTTTTCTGTTTTAAATATCTCTAAAATGAATTCAATCAAACATTATTAAACCAAAATTTCAATGATAATTAGATTTATTTACATGGCATTGCATATTTTGGTATATTGTATTTGATAATATGATGCCAACTATAAATCTATAAAATTAAATGTACTTGGACACATATTTGAAGTTAATATTTTTTCAATAATATTAAGACCTATATATTTTAATAGCATTTCACACAAAAATTAATAAAAAATCTTATTTCATTTAAAAGTTATTAAAATTTTAAATTTTTTGGTGGGTTTGATTGACACATCCTTGCACTTTCACAAATTTTAACTTCATTCTTAATCCTTAGGAAAAGTGGCAGTCTTGTTGTGTATTAATGAAAAATATTAATACTATAATCCATAAAATTCAGTGTAGACATGTTCGAAAGCAAAACAAACACACAATATATTGTCAGTCCGTGCAGTTGTGGTAAGCAGACTTTGGCGATTGAACGCACCCAGTGAACCAAAACACCAAACAATAACAAAGCTTTCGCCCTGTTTACAAAAACTGTGTACATAACACGAGTGTGCTCGATTTGCTAAACTCTGTACACAACGGAATGACGATACTTGTGAAGGAGTTTTGCTTTCTAACATTTCTACTCTAAATAAAATTATTTTTCTGGATTAAAGTTTTAATACATCTCATTAATTCACAATTAACAAGATTGCCACTTTTCCTAAGGATTAAGAATAAAGTTAAAATTTGTGAAAGTGAAATGATATGTGTCAATCAAACCCGCCAAAAAATAAAAAGTTTTAATAACTTTTAAATGAAATAAGATTTTTAATTAATTTTTGTGTGAAATGCTATTAAAACATATAATTCGTGATATTATACAGAAAAAATTAACTTCAAACCTGTGTCCAAGTACCTGTAAGATATGGACACTGTGACATAACCCTTGTATTTGTTGTGGTAAATAAATACAGTGGAGCCTCATTTATCTGTACGCTTTGGTTCCAAGTCAATTTGTCAGGATATGTGAAGTGTCTAGATACCTGAATCACCAGTTAAACAAGAAAATACATGTATATCATTTTAAAAAATTTTGTCCTGATGAAAAATCATCTGGATATTGAAGCCTCCGGATATTAGGGGTCCGGATATTTGAGGGTCCACTGTATATTTATGTATTAATACTATACAATTATTGCCGCTTTTGAGGTCAATACAATGATTTAGCCATCTGAGGAGTACAATATTCACCGAGCCCGAAGGGCGAGGTGAATATTGAACTTCGAAGATGGCTAAATCATTGTATTGACCAAAAAAACAGCAATAATTGTGTTATTATATGATTCACTGATAAAATGATACAGCTCATTACTTCTTTGCATTTAATTTAGTCCTAGCCAAAAACTATAGAGAAGCAGAATTAAAATGTAAATAAACCTTACCAATCGTATCAATTTGAAGTTTATTTTTTTATCAATTTTAGTGAAAAAATGTAATGTCATTCTTTTTTATAGGATTGACTTTGAAAGGAAGGAGTATTATCAGGGAAAACTCACTGCCAAAAAGTAAAAAAAAAATGCTATTCAGTAAAAGTTTGAGGGGTCCCTGCATCCCCTCTTACCACCCTCACTCGAAAATATATACTTGCCCTTGTTGTGTTCACATGAAAAAAAGGTCATAGTCGTTTGGATAGCTTTCCAAAACAATTTGTATCCATTTAGATTTTCCCGATCTATTTTTAGATCAATTTAGAGGAAATAAATCCTTGTATTCACCTGGAACGTCACGTGCAGGTCAATACAACGTACTGGTAGTATTTTTCTAACATAGTTGGATCTCAGCCAATCAGAGAAATAGAAATAATTCAATCATATAATAAATGTATATATAAATTTAAAATAATATCAATGTGGGATGCACAACTGAATCTAATAGCTAATTGACAGGTTTTTTTTCAGCAGCAAAAGATTATAGTAAAAACAAATAAAAAAACAAATTGTATTATTGTAAAGATTTGCTTTTTATGTGGAATTTTAGCATCGGATAAAACTAAACATTGTCATATTAACTAAGCATTACATGTCTAACGTATGGCTCTATTTATGATTGACCTCTACTGTAAAGTTGATGTAATCTACAGCTTTCTTTGTCTAGGTCACAGACAAAATAAATATTTAACTTATCAATGTTTAAAAGGGTTATTGATAAAATAAACATAATTGCCTCTAAAAAATACTTAAATTATATTCTGAGCACACCTTTTTTTAAAAATCCTTGACTGATGAAAGGGCGGGGACACTTTATCTCATAGATTTTTTAAATTATGCACTTCCGCTAAAATAGTTTAAGAGAACACTTGTTATAATAGTCTCATTATCTTACTTCTTCAGTGCTTTTTTGTGTTTTTAAAAATCTGAACAATCATGGGGGAAACAATTGTAGTCTCAAATGACAGCAGTTTAAAAGGAATATCAGTAAACAATGTTATTGAATTAACCATTTGTTCAGATATAGTAAGCTTTAGCCCAAGTTTTTTGCTTCATTGATGCAGAAATAGTACAAATGAACTTACATTCATTATCCAATAGCACTATAAAACAATATCCTTTTCAGTAATACGTAATTTGATTATAAAACAAAGGGTGCTTCCGTGGCGGAAGTGGTTCTCAATGGATATCAATATGGCTTCTGCATATATTATCTAATTTTAGATTCCAATGGTTTTCGATTCCGAACGGAAATATTGCTGATATTATACTTTATTGTTTTATCTTGAGTAGGTAAAGTACCAAAAGAAATTTGTAGATAAATTAATTTAAAAAAATTATGTATTTGAGTTACAGACTCCAAGCAATAACACTTTGGTGGGGATCAACACAGGTGGATCAAAGGGAGTGGAATAATTATTACCTAAATAAATTAATAATAAAAAAGAGGGGAGCAAGAGTATACTAGCTTGCAAATCATTATGAAAAAAAATTAAAAGGTTTATGATGTTTTGACAGAGACTACATATTCCGTTTGACCAGCCACATTAACAACGCCATTCCAGACATGATGCGGTTACTGGAGGAACACAGTAAGAGACAGAACATGTACTACAAGACATACACTTCTTTCCTCGATCACCTGGACGTTTTACTACCTCTACTGAGAGAGAACCATGAAATGTCCGCCATCATTAGGGATAAATACCAGAAGATACAGAACACTGTGTCCGATGTTAATCCTAGAGAGGTGCTGAAAAAGGTGAGGAAAAGGGGGCTCAGAAACTGGATCAGAAAAGGGGGGCTAAAAAACTGGGTCAAGAAAAGAGGGCTCAAAAACTGGGTTAGAAAAGGGGGCTCAGAAACTGGGTCAGAAAAAAGGGCTCAGAAACTGGGTCAGAAAAAGAGGGCTAAAAAACTGGGTAAAGAAAAGAGGGCTTAGAAACTGGGTCAGAAAAAAGGGCTCAGAAACTGGGTCAGGAAAAAGGGGGCCCAGAAACTGGGTCAGGAGAAATAAGCAGTGGGTAGGAGGTGGAGGTGAACCTGTAATGGAGCTCAAACAAATATTTTTTTAATTGGAAATTCAACAAGCCTTTTTTTTTTTTAAACATTATTCATGTCGTTTTAGTAGACATTAACATTAATATAATTATGGAATTTCACTCAATTCCTTAGATTTCATTTTCATGTTTATTTATTGAATATAGCAACTCAGAGCTTGATTTTTTTGGAATTGGGTTGATGATACCCCTTTTTGAATTACAGGCGGAGAATCGATCAGAAGAATGTAAGGTGTACATGGACGTCCTGATGAACAAGATCTACGAGCAGGAGAAAGAGGCCATTAGTCACTGTGTGGGCTGTTTGGAGGAGGAAAACTGGTATGTATACTAAATCTATTACAAAAAAAATATCAACTTACAGAGCCTGGCCTCTAGACCAGATACTGAGAACAGACTTAAGTAAATCATTAAGGAAATCAGAAAGGTTTAGTTCCCCCAAAAAACCGTTTTTTATGGTGTTTCTCATAAAAATGCATTAAATTCTCCATGTGAACATGGTTCAAAATTAATTCCCAGTAACTTATGTTTAATTCAAATAAAACTCTCCATGTTAACAGGGCGTATATTTCAAATTAAGAGTAATTCTTATGTTTTGTTTGTTAAAACAAATTTAATTCAAAATTGACTTACCAATGGCAGCACTCAGAAAGCTGAGCACCTGTGTAGGAAGATAGAGGAGATCTCGACGGCCTTCACCAAAGACAGGAAACAGAAAACACTGTGTCCAGAAGAGGAATACGTTCACGAGTCAGACAGGTAAGGCTACACACACCTGTAATATACGGGGGGACAGGTAAGACCACCAACACCTGTAATATACAAAGAATACTCAACTTTGATTGGCCTACGAGGAAACAATATACCTTTATTTACCGTGTTCGATGGCAACATGTGTTTTGTGTGATTGATTGTGTGACTTGAATACCTGGAGCTTCTAATGACCTAATTAATGACCTGAACTCTGACCCTATTTCAGAATCCGGATACAGGACCTGTGTGTTCAGCTGGTCTCTCTGCTTCAAGGTCACTGTCTGAGGAATCTGTCCAGAACGTACAGTGTAGTGGGCAAGCAGATAGGGTAAGGTGGTCAAAGGGGAATAACTCCAAGAAATATTATCAACAACTAAGACAACAGTGTAGAAAACTTTGCTTCAATGCATATACATGTAATATTAATAACTATTTTAGACAAAGTAATTCATTTTTAGCTCACCTCAACGAAGTTGGGGGGAGCTTATGTGATACCCTCGGCATCGGCGTCCCGGGTTAAGGTTAAGTTTTTTGGAGCAGTTTTCTTTTTAAGTACTTCTATGTCCTATATTGATTAGACATGCATGGAAGATGTTGCTAGTGTGTTTCATTGTACCAGTCAAAGTTTCAGATGCTGCAATTTCAGCAAAGGAATGACCAGGTTAATGTTTTTGGTGCAGGTTAACATTTTTATGCCCCCGTAAACGAAGTTTGGGGGTATATAGTTTTTGTCGTGTCCGTCTGTCTCTCTGTCTCTCTGTCTGTCTCTCTGTTTGTCCGCAAAAACTTTAACCTTGCCCATAACTTTTGATCTGGTGGAGCTATGGCCTTCATGTTTCACATGTGTATTCCTTGTGACAAGACCTTTCTTTGGGTACCACCAAATTTGACCTTTTGACCTTGACCTTGGAGTTTGACCCACATTTACACAAAAATTTTGAACTTTTACTTTGGCCATATCTTTTGAACAGTAGACACCAGGACATTTATACTTGACATGTATATAGTTTGTGAAAAGACCTTTTATTGGATCTCAACAACCTTGACCTTTTGACCTTGACCTTAGGGATTTCTGTACTTACAAAAAAACTTTAACCTTGGCTATAACTTTTAAACTAAAAGTGCTAGGGCTTTCATTTTTCACATATGTAATCCTTGTGAGAAGACGCTTCATTTGATACCAAGAACCTTGACCCTTTGACCTTGACCTTGAAGTTTGAATTACTTTAAAAATACAACCTTGACAATAATTTTTGAAGGGTTAGTACTAGGGCTTTCATACTTCACATATTCAATTCTTGTGACAAGACTTCTCATTTGATATCAAACACCTTGACCTTTTGACCTTGACCTTGGAGTTAGACCCACTTTTACACAAAAATTGCAGATTTTTACTTTGGTCATAATTTTTAAACGGTAGTTACTAGGAATTTCATTTTTCAAATATCACTTCTTTTTGGCAAGACCTTTCATTTAAAACCAAGAATTTTGACCTTGACCCTGGAGATTTCCGTACTTACGAAAAAACTTTAACTTTGGTCATAACTTTGAACGGTAAGGGCTAGGGCTTTCATACTGCAAATATGTAATCCTTGTGAGAAGACCTTTTATTGGATATCATCAACTTTGACCTTGACCTTGGAGTTTGACCTTACAAATGTTCACCTTGGCCATATCTATTGAACAGTAAGGGCCAGCGCTTTCATACTTACCATATGTTATCTTTGAGACAAGGCCTTTCATTAGAAACCAACAACATTGACCCTTTGACCTTGACCCAGAGTTTGTCCTTCATTTAAAAATGTTTACCTTGGTCATAACCCTTGAACAGGTGGTGCTAGGGTTTTTTTATTTCACATATGTATTTCTTCTGAAAAGGCCTTACTTAAGGTACCAACATATTTGATCAGCATTAGAGAAAGCTTAACCTTCGCTATGTTGGCATCAGTGTTTCACAAACACATCTTGTTGGTGCAGTTTTTGGTGTAGGTCTCATTTCCGAGTAACTATAAGCCCTATGTTGACCAAACTTACATGGATGATACATCTTAGGATGCATACTACCAGCCTTGCTTCGGATGCTGAATCTGACCTACATTTTCTGGTTGAGTGAACAGGTTAAAGTTTTTGGTGAAGGTTTCATTTTGAAGATACTTTGAGCCCTATAATGACGAAACTTGCATGGATGGTACATCTTAGGATGTATTCTACTAGACTTGCTTCGGATGCTGAATCTGACCTACATTTTCAGGTTGAGTGAACAGGTTAAAGTTTTTGGTGCAGGTTTCATTTCCAAGTTACAGACCCTAAACCGTGCTACTACACCACTTGCACGGTACGGTTCGGTACGCTTTGAGAACGGAACGGTTCGCTTTGTTCACGGTACGGTACGCTTTGAGAACGGAACGGTTCGCTTTGTGCACGGAACGGTACGCTTTGTGCACGGTACGGTTCGTTTCTTACACGGAACGGTACGCTTTGTGGACGGTACGTTTCGTTTCTTGCACGGAACGGTTCGTTTTGTGAACGGTACGCTTTAGGAAACGGTATGCAAATGAAGTGGGCGGAGCCTGTTAGCTTTGATCATTGATTGGCTGCTAAAAATTAGTCCATTTTAAACGAATTTTGAAGATCGTTATGCACGTGTACAATTTTTTTCCGTTATTAAAGAATGTAATTTATTTACATGTATATTTCAAATAAATTGAAGCATTAATGATTATTTATTTATTAGGGAAGTTCAAATGTTTTATTACATGTACATGTATGCTTATGTGTTTATCATAGCCTTGTATGCTATGTTTCGGTTTCAATTTTAAAATATATTTAAACAGAAGCAGAGATGGAGGAAATAAGAAAATAAAATGAAAGGAAAAACATTGTCCCGCTGATCTTTTTGGCATTTGTAAATATATTGATATATAGGAGGTAAATATTTCCGTACGTATTTTAATTTTACGTATGCGGAGGCTGTGTCTTAAATAGAAAAAATACACACATGTATATAATGATTTTTCATTCTAGAATAAAGCTTAAACATAATTGAATATATGCTTGTTCTATATTTAACACTATACACGTATATAAATTATTTTCAATTGATTGAACTATAGAAACAAATAAGACTTATCGTGCTTTTATTTTTAATCTTAGTAATAAGAAATGTAGATTGTTTCTCATTTTTAAAATTGTTTGATCTATCGTTTAAATGTCTGCCTAAGAAGAGAAATATCAGTAACAAAAAATAAATTTATTAATAAAAAATGTTGAAGAAAATAATTTTAAAAAATGTACAGGGCATGTATGTTTTTAAAAATCCTTTCAGTCTAAGTAATTATTTAGATAAGTTTTACTTCATTTTGGTAAGTTTTTCTTTTCTTGTAAAATGTGTAAATACTATGTCGTGAAAGAGAGAGAGAAAGCGGGAGAGATGCAACCCCGTTACACGATCTGTAAAAAAAAAAAAAAACAAACAAACAAAAAAAAAACCCTTGTATTTATCTCATTCTTTGTTTTATTTACATTGCCAAAGTCACAGATGCTATTTAATTGCCACAACTTTGGTTCAAACTCAACCTAGTTACAACAACTGCGCAATGCATTCATTCTCTGCACATAGGAAATCCTTGTGAATCACCTGTCAATCAAAATCGCATGACGATACCGGTAGGTGACCTTGAAAGTATGTTTACGCAAAAAGAATTTCTCTTTGATTTGAAACATTCTGATGGTCAGTTCAGAATTCACACCTTTTAAAAAATATTGGGTCACAGCCATAGGGTCGGAGTGCCGTGTATTTAACACACCTTTCAAATTATTTAGTTTTGACTACATCAAGTGTACATGCATTTTTAAAACTCACTCAATTGAGATTCAGCGAAACTCATCTACTTCCTAAAATGTCCCTTTTCAGACACAGTCAGAAAAGGCTGTATCCATTAATTATTATTATAGCGTCACATAAATTCGCAGACTTTTGATAAGTTTTAACTAGCTAATTAGTATCGACTTCTAGAAAGGGGGGGGGTAACAAACATAATGTGGCTTGAAAGATGATTGAGAAAAGTCATTGTACTTTTTATTTTCATTTTATTTTGTAAGTTATCCTTTTTTCAGACACAAATAAGCATGTATGCTGTAGACTATGATTTTTATTAGTCAGATTATATCCGTTCAGTAGAAATCTGAAGTCCCTGTTTCCCGCATGTAATATTTAAATCCATATTAGACAGAATTGCCGATTTTCAGTGAAAGTCTTACTGCATCAGGGATTCGCCGAGTATAATTATCTGAGCAGAATTAATAAATGTTTATGAGTCTCATACATTTTGTTTATTTTACTCTAGCTAAACAGTTCATAATTATGTGTTTTAAATTTCTTACAAAATAATTAATTAGTAAAATCAGGCATCTGATATGAACTACATATGAATGCATACTTACGGCAAAAACGATCGTGTATCTGATTCAGCAATTGAATTGGGCAAAATTAAAATCAAAATTAAGTCAAGACAACCAGGGAATTAGTTTAAACATTCTGTATAGTTAAATTACGAATATTTAAGTACAATAAACATTTTTTTTGAAAAGTTGATTCTTACATGTAAATAAAGAAAATGAAAATATTTATTATCAGTTCCGTAATGGGAAACTGTTATATACCGTGTTACACGGTGCCATCGCTGACTTCAAAGATGCCGACATCGAGTTTAAAGTTCACGGTGCCCGTGTTTTGCGGGAAAAACTCGTGGCCTGTACTTTACCTTTGATCACAAACACAACGAGTTGATCTAATTTTTTTGCAAATGAGTAATCAATGTAAACTCTGTCTAGTTGTTAAAATTTTCACAGTTGAAAGCCCAGATGCATATTACTTCATAATGGTGTTTCAAATAGCCAGAAATAACCCCCGTCCTCTTTCACGGGCGCTATTGAGAGAAATAAACCAAAATGACTTATTTGGTTAAAGCACGGTTCGAAAATAATTGGAGGCGTGGTTTGCATAATTAACCAAAGAACGGTACGGTTCGTTTCTTACACGGAACGGTACGCTTTGTGGACGGTACGGTACGCTTTGCGCATGGAACGGTTCGCTTTGTGCACGGTACGGTACGCTTTGTACACGGAACGGTTCGCTTTGTGCACGGTACGGTACGCTTTGAGAACGGAACTGTTCGCTTTGTTCACGGTACGGTACGCTTTGTGCACGGAACGGTACGGTTTGTTTCTGAGGTGTAGTAGCACGGTTTAGGGTCTGTACTATGAGACATATAAAGACCAAACTTGCATGAATGGTACATCTTAGGATGCATATTACAAGACCTGCTTCAGATGCTGAATCTGACCTACATTTTCCGGTTGAGTGAACAGGTTAAAATTTATGGTGCAGGTTTCATTTCCAAGGTACATGTACTATGAACCCTATAACGACTAAATTGCATGGATGGTACATCTTAGGATGCATACTACCAGACTTGCTTCGGATGCTGAATCTGACCTACATTTTCCGGTTGAGTAAACAGGTTAAAGTTTATGGTGCAGGATTCATTTCCAAGTAACTTTGAGTCCTATAATGACCAAACTTGCATGGATGGTACATCTAAGGGTGCATTCTACTAGGCTGGCTTCGGATGCTGAATCTGACCTACATTTTCTTGTTTAGTGGAAAGGTTATTTTTTTTATACAGGTTTCATTTGCAAGTAACTTTAAGCCCTATGTTGACCAAACTTGCATGGATGATACATCTTAGGATGCACACTAATGGACTTGCTTCAGATGCTACATTTTCCAGATAACTGACCTCGTAAAAGTTATGGGTGCAAGTCTATCACCAAGAAACTATAAGGCTTATATAAACCAGTTGCACAAATGATGCATCAAGGGATGAAAATTCTCAATCTTGCTTCAGATGCTAGATTTTAATTACATTTTCATGATGAAGAACTAGTTTTTAGTTTTTATATAGGTCTATTCCAAAGTATCAAAATTGCATAAATTTTGCATTTTTGGATGTACACTTTTTGTTGGTTAATTGTGTGACTTAATTTGCCTTACTTAAAGACAACACACGTTGAGGTGAGCTCTGTAATCTCTGATTACCTATGTTTATAACACTTTTAGATTACTGCTGAAGAATGTTCAGAGAACAAAGAAGGTTGAACAGAATATCGCTTCTGTCAGCGATTGTCGGGAGAAGCTCAGTAATCGCATCGACAAGGTAAAAAATATATAGCTTTATACACAATATTCAAGTCTGCAATTTAATTGCATTTTTAAAAATGTTAGTTCACTTTTAGGAATATAGAATATACATATAAACACATACAGATCATTTGACTCTGTGCAGTAGTAGTTACTTTTAGAATGTAGACTTACTAGTAATTTACTTGTTCATTTCTGTGAAGAAGAACTTGTCTCTCATCAGATGGACAGAGAATGTTTGTCATTAGCTGAACAAGCCAAGGAGGGCATGAGGACACATATCAAAGGCTTCTCCCTCCCGGTCCAGTGGCAGGGGTTGTCAGGGAAACCACTGAGTCCTCGCCCAATGTCACAGGACTTTGCATACAGAGACAGTGGTTTAGGAGCCAGCGGGGCCCAGTCCAGTGTGTCCTCCAGTAGCTTAGGAGCCAGGCTGTCACAAAAGTAGGTAGATCGGGTAAAAAAATGTAAAGGTTGAAAAAAAACAATTAGAGGCTTATTTTAAGCTCTAGTGGCCAGAGACCTGGCTCTGGGGCCATAAAACTAAGACAAGCTCACATTTTATCTCAGTTACACTGATTCACTTTTACCAAAGGAATAAATAGTGAAAAAGTGAGACTGAGATCAAAAGTGAACTCGTCTAAGTTTTATGGCCCCAGGGCTGAAGACAATCACATTATGCAGTGGAAAGGTGTCCATTTATCTGTCCATCTGTTAACAATTTTTTAGAATCTACTCCTCCTACAGTTTTGAAATTTTTGTAGAAAAACTTTTAAAATGCTACTCCTTAAGTTTTGGTTTGATTTCAATATAACTTGGCACCAAGTAGACTACACTAGGACACATCATTCTGTGTTTCTGTTTTAATTTTGATTTCTGTGAAAAAACGTGTACTTTCAAAATGTTACTCCTCCTACAGTTATGATCTGATTTCAATGTAACTTTGTACACAAGTATACTATAAAAAGATAAATATAACCACTCATTACATACTCATGTGGATTTGTCTCATACCAAACCTTAATACTTGTCCTTTCTGTGGAATTTTACTATTCCACAGGAATAGTTAGTAAATGATTATTTTTTTGCAATATAGTATCCAAAATAATGGCCCGACTGTCGTCACCATTAAAAATACATTTTTAAACAATTTTTTTATCCAATTAAAAATCTGAATACACCATCAAAGAAATGGTATCTGAAAATGGTTTACACATTTGTGTAAATTAAGTAAGAAAATGAATTTTTATTAAATCATTCCGAATTATATAAAGATTAATGAAAAATATCCTATAACATACAAATTCGATTTAGAAAAATCCATCCACAAACTATAAATAGTGTAATATAAGAAATGAAAATATGATAATATGTTGAATGATAATAAATTTAATTTTAAATTAAACAAAAACATTTTAGGTATATTTAAGGAATGTTTTTTTTTAGTTCTGTGTTATTTATTGGTGTGTAAATCAAACAGACTTGTAAAGTAAGCATATTTCATGAAATGTGCCAGCCCTTCATAAAAAATATGCCTGGAAACACCAGAAAATATATTTTTAAATATTTGAATTTCTTGCTGACCTTTATCGTTATACTTGATAACATCACTGTAACCTTATTGTGGCATCACGTTAATGCATGCTTCTCCGTGTATATTTCAATGTGTGAGTAGACATGAAAATGATATTCAAATCAATTTCACAGTTGGCTTAGTAGTAAAACACTGCAGATGTAAATATTTGGTATTGTTTCCAACATTGTAACAAATATTTTTAAAAATATTATAATAATGGAATACGAATTTGAAAGAATGATATAGATCTTTCATTTACATCCAATTCCCATTGAATTTTGACCTTGCCTCACTTGTAAAAACCCTGAGAATATACATGTATAAGTGCAAGTGGTTACATTTTTCTCACTTTGCTGGTCACTGTATACATTTTATTGAAATCTACCTATGTATTGGACAGGAGAAAATTGTACCTACATGTAACTGCACCCGCATGCTATTTTAAAAAAAAATTGTGAAGTCTAGCTGGCCTTTCCCATTATAAAAAGATCGATGAAACAAGATTTTATGATAAATTCAAATGCTAATCGAGGCACTGCATGGCCATACTTTCTAACAGACCAATCAGCTAAACGAGATGGGAGTAACAAGTGTGTTCCACAAAATACTAAAGGAATTTCATGCTTGGAAAAAAGGCTTATTTTACCTTCTTTCTGAAAATTTTTTTGATGCATTTGAGTCAGATTAGACACGGTTCTACATATTATGTACAATTGTGGAGTTACAAACAATTGATAAATGTATATAATAGCTGAAAGTTTTGTAAAGTGTTTTGTGGGCAATTTGCTGAGTGTAAGTCTCCACATATTCCTGAGAATAAGTGAATATACAATTTCATGTGCATTTCTTGACCCAGAAAGTATAAACAACCTTTGCTGAGCATTATAAAAGTTTGAAATGTAGAAGAGGATAACAGGTAAATTGCCCTAAACCACATGTTTTTGATAAAATGTAAACATGTAGTAAACCAGCATGTTTTTTTGTTCTGTAATCAGATTGGACAATTGTTCTCGATAAGCGACTACAGAGTGTATATGACATTTATGGTAGAATCCTCGGACATGCATATCTCTCTGTTGTACTATGACCTGCCTATTCTCTTTCCATAATTGAACATACAGTGGCTGCAACGTTATTGTTGACAAGTTACACGCATGATTACGTTACACGAACGATTCCGCATGATTAATGCCCGATAAAACCTGTTACACGAATGATCCTTCACACACACGATTCTACATATTACATGATCTTACACGATTGCTAACACAAACGCACGGTTACATTTCTTTGTACAGTTTATCACAAAAGTCACACTTTTTGCAGCGATAAGAACATAACAATGTACGACTTACTATATTACTTATTCACAGCAATAATTAGTTCGTTCCACTTCATTTATTTTATTTTGGTTAAAAACAAAAAAAAACATACAAGCAATATGCATATTTATATATATATTTAAACAAAAACATTCCAATAAAAACTTACAAAACGAAATTAACAGGTTTCATAACGCACGATTTAAACCGCAAACGATTGAGTCTGATGCATGCACGATCTTGCATGTTACACGAACGATCACGCACGATACAAGAACGATTCTACACGATTGGTTTGTCAACAATAACGTTGCAGCCACTGTATTGTCACAAACCAGGCCAAATTTTGCAAATACAGGGTCTTTAAAATTATTGATAATGCAGTTTTCCTTATAGTTCATATGTGTCAAAACTATTCAAACTATTCAAAAGGCGTCTTGTTTGAAAACTATCAAAATCATTGTAGATTAAATACAATTCACTGTGGATAAAGGGGCCTCACATGCACTTAACAGTTGTGTCAAATCATCCTTTAAAAGAAATATCTTAAATACAGGTAACTCTCGATACCTCGAAGTCAGCGGGACCAAGGAAAAACTTCGAGTGATCAAGAGTTCGAGTTTTCAAGAGTCCGGATTTTTCCGGGTTTGTTTGACAGGTTTTAAAATTAGTCTTACTGGATGTAATGATTTTCATGCAATCCTTACTTTTTCACGTGGTTTTTATAAAATAATGATATTTTTTTCGTATTTAAGATGAATATTTATTAAACTGTGTAAAGCAAAAAATGTTCATCGTCAGTTCGTATGTATTTACATGTATTTATTTATTATCATACGGACATCATTCTACGCATTCGTAATATGAAAACGGAATTTTACCAGTGTAGCATGGTACATAGCATAACATTGTGACTTTTCCAAACATGTGCATTGAACGAAATTCTGTATGTATTTGTCAAACAGTAGTCGTCATATTGACAGTGAGGCTGTTTCTGAATTTTCATATTTCATTAAACTTTGAAACTGATTCGAAATAAAAATTAAATCCATTAAGTACGTGTTTCATCACGTAATCTGCCATTATAATTTCTCAGTGACACTGCGTTTCTAAATTATTGTAATACAGGCAATCATAATTATTTGAATAGCATATAGGCACCATAAGATTAATTACAGATCAATAATCATCTTGCAGAATAAGTGTCACCTGAATAAACATCTCGTTTCACGAGACCCGTGTCTTCTGCCTGGGGTCATTAAATGTCCAGGTAAAGTTGCTAATTATGTAACTTTGTATACACTTAGCCACTTCAAGGTATCAAGGGTCAATTTCAATAGAATATGCACAGCAGGACTGCATTTTGACTTCGATGGATCAAGGGTTTCGAGAGATCAAGAGTTCGAGAAATCAAGAGTAAATTTGCTTAGTTATATAGGGGAAAAAATCGGGACCGGAGACTCACTTCGAGCGATCAAGAACTTCAAGAGATCGAAGTTCGAGCCATCAAGAGTTACCTGTAGTAATAAATCAATTGCAGAAAATAGGTTTTTTCCAATAACTATTTATTATACATATTGATATAAATGGAGTTTTATGAAGAAACTTACTTTTACAGTTGACGACTGACTTTTACAATTTAAACACATACAAACTCCATATACTAAAATGTAAAAGTCAGTTGTCTAATGTAATGTCTTCATAAAACTCCAATGATGCTAGTTTCTATATGTATAGCGACTCTAGAGCCATTTGATTGATTGTATGTTGTTTAATGCCCCTCTGGAGAATTTCCACAGCCTCTTGGTATTTTAACATTTCTCTTTATAAATAAAAATCTCCGCATACTATAATAAGACCAATGGAACATAAACTGGCAAGATTGGAAATATGGAAATATGGATTGAAAATGAATTTCAAACTGGAATTTCAATCCAATGTTTTCTGGGCTGTCCATGTCAAACTGTACCTACCAATTCTATTGTCTATTATTGAATGTTTTGATTGTAACAGGTAGAATTGACATCAGCTGCATATTTCCAATCTTGCCAGTTAATGTTCCATGGTCTTATTATGGACAGGCCTTCCTGTGCGATGTCTTAATTACGAATGAGACAGGCTTAAATGTCAAGTGGATGTGCCAAACTTATCAATTACAACTGTGACTTAAAATAGCAATTGTGTCATAAGGGAATTTTTTTTTTTTTTTTACCAAATTATGGGTGTTCAGAATGGTGGACATTACAATTTTTAAAAAGTTTTGGAATGGGTTTTAGCAGTTATTTTATCAACATGACCATCGGTCTAGTTAGGTACATTTTACATGTTAGACCACTCATTTACATGTACTAGACTGTGTCGGTCAAACATGCCTCAGTTTCAGACCCTGAAAATTAATCTAAAATGTTGACACTTTTCATTCAACTTTCATAAAATTAACATTCTTGGAAGAATATATTACAAAATCCCAAATATTGAAATATTTTGTTTTTCCTTTTAGAATGGATGACCTGAATATTAAAAGCTTTGAAGTTAAAGAGGAGGTGGAGAGGAATCAAAAGTCCCTGGAGGAATCTGACAGAATTTTGGCTTATGGGTAAATATATGTGAAATTCCATAAAAGCTGATTGCAGATTCATTTTTAGCTCTACTGGTCAGAGAACAGAAGAGCTTATGCAATAGTAATGTGTCCGTCGTCCATCCGTCTGTCTGTAAACAATTTTTCAAAATGCTACTCCTCTTACAGTTTTAGTTTGATTTCAATATAACTTGGGTAAGAAGTACACTAAATTAAAATACATATTTTGCTGTATTGGTTTTTGATTTCAATGAACGAGTTGCCATGGTTATTGAAAATAAAGATTTCTGCAAAATACTTTCACAATATTACTCCTCATACAGTTTAGTCTGATTTCAATATAACTTGACACACAAGTAGATTACTCTAAGACACATACAGTAATTCTGTGCATCGGTTTCTGATTTCAATGAATGTTGTTGCCATGGTTATTAAAAATAGAAAGAATGATGTAACATAACTGCTTTTTGGGCCTCTTTTTCTACCATGAATTAAAAAAATCTACTGTAATATTGATTTTGATAGTATTCAAACATAAATGAATAAATACAACACCTTTTGAATAGTTTGATTAGTTCGGACACATTTTAATTACAAGGAATACTGCATTATATATGATTTTTTAGATCCTATCACAGCAAAATTCGGCCTGGTTTGTGACAATGTTCTCTTATGGAAAGAGAATGGGTGGGTCTTAATAGTACAATAGAGGGATATGCATGTCCATGGAGTCTGCAATAAGATACATTTTTAATAATGTTGATTATATTTAATGAAAAAAAGGTGAAGGTATATCGGACAGTGACCAATCTCATAAAACCTACAAACAACACGAATCTGTGAACAGAATACTACTTCATGTCGATTAAAAGATTGACATCATGGCTGTGTGATTGCCAGGGAACAGCAATTAACAACAATTTTAATATGTATGTACAGCTGATGCAGTGGTCAACAGCAGTAAAAACAGGTGCTCTGCTTTGATTCATGATACTTTAAAAGCAATAACACAAAAGATATTTGAGTACTGTACATGATTTTTTTTTGTTAATTGGAAAAACACTTGTACGCGGGCAGGCACCTGTTATCAAATTGGTGAAATTACTTGCCCACCTGCAACCCAATATGGTTGTCCTGGGTGTTGGTTTAGGTCAATTTAGCAATTATTCTCTACTATATTTTAAACTTTTAATGATCAGCCAAAACTGTTTATAATAAACTAGGACTTTCCAAAAGAGACAAAATACCCCACTGGGTTTTTCAGAGGTGGCAAATCATGAATACTTTATGGATCTCAAAGCAGAGAGAAATGTTAAAACATTTTTAGTGCAAATGTAATTGCTCATTATATTTTTAATGAATGAAACGAAGGTGCAGCCCAATAAAAAAAATAAAAATTAGAGATAAAAGAGATAAAGACCAAACATGAATTATGAACTTTTTCTGTCAGTGACCTAGAACTTGCAGTAATGACCTTGGTTCAAAATCATGACACAACATCAGATCATAAGCAGTCTTTGTGTAAAATAGGAACTCACCACATTTATCCATAAGACAGATATGGTTTACATGAATTATGAATTTTTTTCTGTCAGAGTCCTTGAACTTGCACAAGTGACCTTGGTTCAAAGTCATGACACAACCTCAGGTCATAAGCTATATTTGTATAATAAAGGAAACCTCCAACTTTATCCCATAAGAAAGATATGAACTAGGCACAAATTATTAACTTTTTTTTCTTTCAGTGACCTTAAACTTGCACAAATGACCTTGGGCCAAGATCATGACACACCCTCAAAACATAAGCAATCTTTGTGTAATACAGGAACTTACCAAGTTTATACATAAGAAAGATATGGACCGGACATGAATTATGAAATTTTTCTTTCAGTGACCTTGAACTTAACCCTAACAAAAAAATACTACAGTTAACTATAGTTTACTATAGTTAACTATAGTTATAACTTTGACACTTTGAAAACTTTGACAAAAACTTTGACACTTTGAAAAACTTTGGCGAAAATTTTGACACTTTGAAAAACTTTGGTGAAAACTTTGACACTTTGAAAAACTTTAGCGAAAACTTTGACACTTTGAAAAACTTTGACAAAAAAACTTTGACACTTTGAAAAACTTTGGCGAAAACTTTGACTCTTTGAAAAACTTTGGCGAAAACTTTGACACTTTGAAAAACTTTGACGAAAACTTTGACACTTTGAAAAACTTTGGCGAAAACTTCGGCACTTTGAAAAACTTTGGCGAAAACTTTGACACTTTGAAAAACTTTGACACTTTGATTTACTATAGTTAGCTATAGTAAACTATAGTTAACTATAATTAACTATAGTTAACTATAGTATTTTTTTTGTTAGGGAAATAACCTTAGCTCAAGGTCATAAAACACCCTCAGGTCATAAGCCATCTTTGTGTGAAGTAGTATATTCAAGTTTATCCATAAGAAAGATATGGACTGGACACGAATTATGAAATTTTTCTTCCAGTGACCTTGTACTTCTCCAAATGATGTTGGATCAAGGTCACAACACATCCTTAGGTCATGAGCAATCTTTGAACTTGGGAACTTACCAAGTTTGTCCATAAGAAAGATATGGACGGGACATGTTTGCACAGACAGACGGACAAGCTGATTCCTATATACTCCCCCAAACTTCGTTTGCTGGGGGTTTAATTATTTGCATGAAATCTCAGCATTTAGGGTTTGGGGTCAAAAAATGCTCATGAAACCTGATTCTACTGATACTCGGGAATACATGTAGACCTAGCAAATTGCCCACCAAACACTTTACAATATTTTAAGCTATATATATGTTTATTTATCAATCAATTGTTTGTTACTGTGATTTCAGAAATTGTAAGGTAAATATTTATCTAATCTGTGACTCAAATGCATAAAAGAATTATCGAAAAGAAGGTAAAATAAGCCTATTTTCCTAGCATGAAATTTCCAAGCATGAAATTTCCTATGTATTTTTGTGTATCTCACTCATAACGCATCTCATTTAGCTGATTAGTCAGAAAGTATTGCCAGTGCCTCGAATAATATGAATTTATTCTTATATCAGAAAATCTACTCGGTAGTAATGTTGATCTCTTTATAATGGGAAAGGCCAGCTAGATTTTACAATTTTTTTTTAAAAATAGCACATGAGCATGCTTAGGTACATTTTTCTTCTTTCACATATGGGTAGATTTTAATAAAATACAGTGACCAGCCAATGGAGAAAAATGAACCTACTTGCGCTCGTATATTTTAAGGGCTTCAAAGAGTGGGGCAGGGTCAAAATTAAGGTAGGACAAAACACCCGTGAATTCTATTTTAACCCATTTCTTAAAAATTACTGGAGGAAAAAAGAATACTACTACTATATTGACAACAATGAATGATCCCTGAAAGAAAAATGATAAGTTTTGGCATATTTGCGTTATATTCTGTGAAAAAATTAGAGAATCCTTTATATTGGTCACTTGGGAGTACATTTTGGAATGTGTTTACGCAATCTAAATGCAATAAACAAGCTTTTAACAGTCTGTTATTAAATGCAGTGCAATTTTTGTTACATAAATAGTAGAGGGTTGATATTTGGAAACATATATAAGGAGTCTCTATTCTTCATGTACTACAAAGGTAAAGGTCATATCACGAGGTCAAAGGTCAAATATTGTGACGTCATCTACTGAATCCTTTAGTTTTTTTGCCATTGAATTTTTATACCCCCCGCAAACGAAGTTTGGGGGGGTATATAGGAATCACCTTGTCCGTCTGTCCGTCCGTCCGTCCGTCTGTCTGTGCAATCGTGTCCGGTCCATATCTTTCTTACAGAGGGACATTAGAATCTACTACTCCACACTAAGATTGCCCATGACCTAAGGGTGTGTCATGACCTTGACCCAAGGTCATTTGGGGAAGTTCAAGGTCACTGGAAGAAAAATTTCATAATTCGTGTCCAGTCCATATCTTTCTTATGGATAAACTTGGTAGGTTCTCATTCCACACAAAGATTGACCATGACCCAAGGGTGTGTCATGACCTTGACCCAAGGTCATTCGGGGAAGTTCAAGGTCACTGGAAGAAAATTTCATAAATCATGTTTAATACATATCTTTTATAGATAAACTTGGTAGGTTCTCATTTCACCCAGAGATTGCTTATGACCTAAGGGTGTGTCATGACCTTGACCCAAGGTCATTTGGAGAAGTTCAAGGTCGCTGAAAGAAAAGTTTCATTATTCGTGTCCGGTCCATATCTTTCTTATGGATAAACTTGGTAGGTTTTTATTTCACACAGAGATTGCCCATGACCCAAGGGTGTGTCATGACCTTGACCCAAGGTCATTTGGAGAAGTTCAAGGTCGCTGAAAGAAAAGTTTCATTATTCGTGTCCGGTCCATATCTTTCTTATGGATAAACTTGGTAGGTTTTTATTTCACAGAGAGATTGCCCATGACCCAAGGGTGTGTCATGACCTTAACCCAAGGTCTTTTGGGGGAAGTTCAAGGTCATTGGAAGAAAAATTTCATAATTCAAGTCAGGTCCATATCTTTCTTATGGATAAACTTGGTAGGGTTCTCATTTCACTAAAAGATTGCCCATGACCCAAGGATGTGTCATGATCTTGACCCAAGGTTATTTGGGGAAGTTCAAGGTCACTGGAATAAAAATTTCATAATTCATGTTTGATACATACAGTGGACCTTCAGATATCCGGACGCCAGATATCCGGATGCTTCAGTATCCGGACGAATTTTCATCAGGACGGAATTTTTGAAATGTTATTTTTTTTGTTAACTAGTGATTCAGGTATCCGGACGCTTCACATATCCGGACAAATTGACTGGGAACCAAAGTGTCCGGATAAGTGAGGGTCCACTGTATCTTTATTATGGAAAAACTTACTTCTGAAAAACCCAGCGGGGGGTATTTTGTCCCGTTTGGACAGTTCTAGTTTTTAATTGCCAAAATGTCTTAAACCACCGGTTCAATTTTCTTTATTTTTATTACACATTTTATTCTAGGACCCATTTGAATCATTCTATTGATTTTTTGTAAAAATTGAATTATACGTTTTCTCTTAAGAAAAGTTAAACTGTCGGATATTTACATGTGAATTTTCAGTTTCTGATACAATGTATGTTCTATTTTACTTAATATTTTACCAAAATTTTCCAGTATCAATGTGACTTACTAATTTAAAGTAACAAAAAGGTTATCTTAATTGAAAGTATTACTCAAATTTGAAATAGATCAATGGAAAATTCTAAAATAAGGCTCATTCTCAAGTCGAATGTCTGATTTCACTATCTTCTTACAGGGGTCTGATAGGCCATATTTCAGACTTTGTGGGCAAAAAATGTGCGGTTGAATTTCTTTCATGTCATGTATAAAGAGAGATTTTGTATCCAAGAACAAAATATCAAAGTTTCAGAAAAATTGAATTTGAGGAAAAATTTAACCTATCTATTTGGTCCTACCTTAAATGGGAATTGGATGTAAACATGATACCCCTACCCAAATGAAAAGTCTAGATCTTTCCAACTACACATTAATATATTTGTTAAAAGTAGTATTCCATTAGGGTACATGTATCAGTGATTCGTTGCATGCAAAAATTAAAGTAAAATTTTGACATTTAATCTGTTTTTCAGTTTAAGATTTCAATGAGTGGTGTTGCCATTTCCAAAAAAAAAAACCAATCTAAATTGCTGTGAAATACTTTAAAAATGCTACTCGTAATACATTTTTGGTATGATTATAATATATAATATTGCAAACAAGTAGACTACACCGATATACATGAATGATGTTGCCATGGTAACTTATATAGAACATTCAGTATTTTTTTTTCAAAAGCTGCTCCAACAGTTGTAGTTGTAATTGCCACAAAAAGAGACTTAATCAAGGATCATTATTCTATTTATTGCATTTGTAAAGTTTTAAAGTTCAATTGCTACCTTTCTCTTCCTTTGTTATAACACAGGCACTTGTATTTTTATCAAACAGATGCTCAATAAGCCAAATATTGAAAAATTATATCTATATAGAGGGGGTAGAATTTTTCAATATTTGGCTTATTGAGCACAGGGGTTGGAAATTTTCAATATTTGGCTAATGAGCGTCTGATTGATAAAAATTCAGGTGCGTGTGGTCATAAGTACAAACCAGTGGAGCTACAGTCTTGACAGAGACTTCTTGTTTGATGATTGGTGTTGCCATGGTAACAAAAATTTAAAATTCTGTACCATTATAAATAGCTACTCCTGCAGTTGTTGTCTTATTGCAGTCTTGCCACAAAAAGAGACTGTTGTAAAGTTTCAAGTCTCAACTGCTACTTTTCTCTTCCTTTGTCATAAGTACAAAACAGTAGAGCTACAGATTCAAATTACCCACCAGATGTAACTTGTAGGAATCAGCTTGTCCGTCTGTCTAGCTGTCCGTCCGTCCGTCTAGCTGTCTGTCTGTCTGTGCAAACGTGTCCAGTCCATATTTTTCTTATGGAGGAACATTAGAATCTACTACTTCACACAAACATTAATCATGACCTAAGGGTGTGTCATGACCTTGACCCAAGGTCATTTGGGGAAGTTCAAGGTCACTTGAAGAAAAATGTCATAATTCGTGTCTGGTCCATATCTTTCTTATGGATAAACTTGGTAAGTTCCTATTTCATGCAAAGATTCCTCATGACCTAAGGGTTTGTCACTGAAAGAAAATTTTTATAAAATTGTGTACATTCCATATCTTGTTTATAGATAAATTTGGTAAATTCCCATTTCACACTAAGATTCCTCATGACCTAAGGGTGTGTCATGACCTTGATGCAAGGTCATCTGGGCAAGGTCATTGAGAGAAAAAGTTCATATTTCATGTTTGGTACATATCTTTCTTATGGAAAAACTTGGTAAGTTCCTGTTTAACACAGAGATTGCTTACAAGGGTGTCCGAAAAGTTTGTGGACAATGACGTTTTTGTGAAAATAAATGGTTGTTTATAAATCTGTTGTATATCAAAATACTTCTTATAAAAACGCAAGTCAGAATGATTTAATTTTTATTGATGGAACGTAGATTGTGCACACGGACCAAAGTAAAAATGACATTAACTCTGATATAAAGTGTTCGGATTAAAATGAAAATTTTCTATATAAAACAAGTCAAAACTTTATAAAAATTTTATGAAACACAAATAAAGAGGCTATAATCATTTTATGATATCTTAAGTATCTTTTACTATATAGACAGTGAGAATACTAAACAAAAACCCTAACAAGTATGTGTCAAAACTTGACAGAAAAAGTGATGTCGGCCGTCCGAATGGGGCAGCTTCCGATCCAAAAATGTGTTTTGATGAAGTTGAAACGATGTAAGAGACAACATTTTTGTTAAAACAACTCAAAATTATTGAAATATATCTAGTGTATTGATTTGAGATAGATTTATATACATATTTTTCAATGGTCTGTACAAATTCGAAGACACTACAAGAATTTAAAACAGATTTAATTTACCGAATTGGAGATTTCTATTCATGATGTTGTTCTAAATTTAATGCAGCGTCAGACTGGGCTGTGAAATTTGTGTATACAAACTACATGTATTTATATAGATGACGCTTGTAAATTTTTGTGTATTGTTTTAAATTTTAAAAATTTAAATAAATTATAAACTGAAAGATTATTGCTTGCACATGGAAGTGTGTTGCGCCTTAAAAAAGAAATGTAGTGTGTGTCCATGAACATATGTGTTAAGTCAAAATCCAAATGTTTGATGTAACATAATGACGTTTAAATGAAATTAGATTAATGTCAGACTGGTCCATGCGCACAATCTGCGATCTTTAAAGACCTCAATTTTTACAAAAATACTAAGTTTCATCAATAATAATTAAATCAGTCTGACTTGGTTTTTCATAAGAAATATTTTGATATACGTGTACAATAGATGCATATAGAACAATTTATTATACCAAAACGTCATTGTCCACAAACTTTTTGGACAACCCTCGTATGTCTTGAGGGTGTGTCATGACCTTGACCCATTTCATTTGTGCAAGTTTAAGGTCACTGGAAGGAAAAAGTTCATAATTTGATCCACATCCATATCTTTCTTATGGATAAACTTGGAGGGTTCCTCATTTACACAAAGATTGCTTATCACCTGAGGGTGTGTCATGACTTTGACCCTTAGTCATTTGTGCAAATTCAAGAACACAGACAAAAAAAATTCCTAATTCATGTCTGTTCTATATCTGTCTTATGGATAAATATGGTGAGTTCCCATTTTACACAAAGATTGCTTATGACCTGAGGTTGCGTATGGATAAACTTGGAGGTTTCCTCATTTACACAAAGATCGCTTATATGACCTGAGGGTGTGTCAAGACTTTGACCCAAGGTCATTTGTGCAAATTCAAGGACACAGACAAAAAAAATTCATAATTCATGTCTGGTCTATATCTGTCGTATGGATAAATGTGCAGAGTTCCCATTTCACACAAAGATTGCTTATGACCTGAGGTTGCATCATGACTTTGAACCAAGGTCATTAATGCAAGTTCATGGTCACTGACAGAAAATGTTCATAATTCATGTCTGGTCTGTATATTCAGCCTTTATTTTTTTTATTGGGCTGCACCTTCGTTTCATTCATAAAAAAATAGAATGAGCAATTACATTTGCACTAAAAATGTTTTAGTATTTCTCTCTTCTCTTAGATCCATAAAATATTCATGATTTGGCACCTCTGAAAAACCCAGCAGGGGTATTTTTGTCCCTTTTGGACAGTTCTTAGTTTTTTTTAGATAAATACTTAGTATGATATCTCAGCTGTCAACGGGAAAATTTTATGCATTTTGATTTTAAAATTTTATCATTTTTTGTATATCTATATATGGAGCTCTTCTTCTGAAGGAGACCAAAATAGTCTAAAAATGGCCACGACCTCCCAGCCCCTTTAAAATAAAGATGTAAAGAAAGCTACTTGTACAAGAATAGCAATCTAGAAGGTGATCTCTTTCAAATACAATTTCAGAGTTCAAGAGACAGCGCCATCAGACACATACACCCCCACCGGAGGTGCCACTTGGAATGCGGGCTCGTATGGATGACAAAAGATTGAGTTCTGTATCCAAACAGACGGAGTCAACGTATTACTTTAAAACTTCATGCTCGCTGTTGTAGGCTCAATGTTGAAACCATCACAACAGGAGGAACGGCGGTGAAATCAAATTCTAGCTGCCTCATCAGAGAATCAGCATTTAGAAACATGGAAGAAATCATAATGTGGCACATGATCAGCTTACAAAAATCAAAAGTATTTCACTCATGACACTTACTAGAGTGCACAAAAAAACTGTTATTTGGAGTACATTATAAAGATATAAACAACTGTAAACAGAATTTATTATTAAAATCAGACTGACAATGATAGAGCTTTGAATGATTCAACTTAACACACTAAATCGTTGATGATGAAAGAACTGTAAGTAAATTAAGATATATTAATTTTAACACCATGAGGATAATATAAAGCTTGGGCAACAGACAGTGAGAGCAGAAAATGTATATTTTTACAGTAGCTGATAAATGTAAATCATGGATGTTGCCATGATGTTTTATATTCAAGCATAGGAGAAAAAAAATGACATGGAAAAGAGGTCATTTAACGCAAGAGTGTTTGATAAAAACTATAGTGACAAAGGAAGAACTCAGCAGTGTGATCAGATTGAGTGTATGGTAATAACCATACCTGGTTCCTAGTTCAGTAGTACACTCATTCAGATGATCATACATGAAGTTTGACAAGATTGATTTTCGTTCAATTTTAATAACAATTCTAAGGTTGAATTGAGTGACTTAGATAAGCCGGGAATGTTTTGAATTAATGTGATACAGTTAAAATTTATATTTTAGTGTTGGTACACTTTTTTTATAGCAGAAAGATTGTTATAATTTGATTCTGATGACATGATTGTGTGACATAAAAAAATCCTTATTCTTGTTTATCAGGGACTGTCCATTAGGAGACATTTTATTTATTTAAGGAATGTTTTTTAAGTTTTGTGTGAGATATTGGTGTGTGAATCACACAGACTTTCATGTAGGCATATTTCATGAAGCGTGCTAGCACTTCATGAAAAATATGCCTATTTGACAAGTCTAAGTGATTCACTACTCAATATTTGAATTTCTTGCTGCCCTTTATTGTTATACTAACATTGCTGTTACAGTAGCTATATGAGGGTTGTCCCAAAATTTCGTAGACTGAGCTCATATCTTTTTAAGAAATTAATGTATCTTTATAAAATTTTCAGGGTGGATAAAGCTTGTTCTTGGCAAATAAATTTCGAAGTTTTCTCATGTTTACTTGAAAACTTTTCGAGTTACAAGATTAAAAGTGATATCGATCTCTAACATAAGGAGCAATCTGCAACGTCAAAAATACAAATGTCAACGGTTCAGATTTTTGGAGAAAATATTTCAATTACCAGAATCAAATTCTGAAATTAAACGAAACGGTTATAGTTATGTGAAAAACCTTAATTATTATGATATGATTAAACATTAAAATATGTAAACAAAGTATATGCATGTACAGGTATAAGTAATGATTACATGTGTATTTGAAAACGCTATATTTCTATGGGCTTTTCGTCTGTTTTCTGTAATGGAGTTGCACAATGGAACTCTTGCCCATTTCTTAGCCCTGTCTTTTATTTTAGTTACTGTTATTCACATATACTTAGAGAAATCGTTTTATTACCATATAGTCATTTTAAATACTAAGGATGAGAAAAAGTTTCCTAGTATTCCAAATATTTATGACTGGTACATTTCTGTAAGAGTTAATTTAGGATAAAAACACTTGAACATAGTCCAGTGCGCCCCCTGTGCCAACACAGCCACCATTTCCCAAAAAGTCGGATTTCATCCCCATGTTTATGAAATGTTATAAAATTCATATTTATCAAAGCACAAGCAGCAGAATTTGAGGAAATATAGTTAATAAAACAGTATTGAGAATTTCACTTCCATTCAAAAATTACAGGGTAGTAATCACTTTTCTGTAGAATTTTAAATATAATATACCAAAATTTAATTGCAACTTTTGGGTATTGCGCTGCCTTCCTACACCAGACAATGAAATGTATCTTTTAAATTGGAATAATTTGTGTAGTAACTCCATTTTTGTCCGTAAATTTATTAGATATAGACTAAGTGTTGGATTAATCTTAATACGAAGTTTCATGAATGTATAACATTGGGTTCGTACAAAAGAAGGCTTGTCAACGGAATTTTGGGACAACCCTTGTAGTGTGACGTCACGTTAACGCATGTTTCTCCATGTATATTTCTACTCATGAGTATACATGAAACTGACATTAAGATGAATTTCATAGTTGGCTTAGTAGAAAAACCGAGAGAATGTAAATATTACCTACATGTAGTATGTGAATATTGAATGTTAAACTTTATAACAGGTCATGTTGATATAGGAATCATTTTGCTTTAATCAATGAGATTCTGTCATTCACTGGTTTGCTCTATATATTTTCTTTAAAATCTATAAATCATATTAATTTGGGAAAAATTACATAAAGATTGTGGTTGGTTCTTTCTTCTAGTTTACATTTTAAAAAATAATGAACATGCTGAAAAAAAATCATTTTCTAAGGTGGTTTAGACATTGCTTAAAAAACAAAGAAAGGGTTTTAAAACCCCTGTGTAAATACTTTGTAGACTTTTAACCTTTTTCTCTTTTCCAAAATTGACAAGTCCCTATATAGAACTCATATTTTTATTACATTATGTTGTTTTTTGTGCAGTTAATAGTAAGTTTTATATTTCTTAGTTACCTAGTAGATGACTAAGCTTTCCTATTGCTATTCTGGTTTTGTTTGCAGTGCTCCAAGTTGTGACTAAAATGGTCGCATTTGCGCCCAAAAATTTGATTTTGCGACTAGAAATAAAAACAAACTCGCATTTTCGCGACTGAGAAAATTTGGGCTGGTAACTTCCATTATTAAGATCGGGTTCGAGATTTATATTGATCAAGATTCTATATCAAGAAAATATTTGAATACATATATTTTAATACACTTTTCTAAGCGTCGCATTGATGTGGATCACGTAATGTTATGACAGCATGCTGTAACGGTGACTTACACAATGTTTGATTGAACCAGATACATGTATACATAATGTCCCTGATAGAATGGCATCGAAACTTCATAAACTTTCTAGGACCCGACCTTGTTATTGAAGCATTTGGTCAATTGCTTGCATATCACAACAAATCATGCTAATAAAAAGTGTTTTGGCGGCATTGATAATCACAGTAACCATGTAATGATTTAGGTAGTAGTAGTAAGTAAACATGACAAACAGCTCACAAAGTCCTGTGTCAACAACTGTCAAAATTGCATTTTCAAATGATAAAATTTATTTCTATGATCAGATTTCTTGTGTTCTTCTGTGTTTTGTACAACCATAAGGGTATAGATGCATTTAATAAAAATATTTCCTTCAACCTTGGATTTAATAAAGACATAATACATATCCTTGTTTAAATTAACTACTTTTATTCACAAAATGTATTTCTATTGCGAGTGAAGTATTTGATTATGGCGACCAGAAATTTTGAAATGGCGACCAAAAAATTTCTTAGGTCGCCATTTAGCAACCTAAAAGCAAGTGTGACTTGGAGCACTGGTTTGTTATCATGCATCAGACATCTTTGTTATCATGCATCTGCTGTTATTCATAATCTTTGAACAATTTTTTGTTTCTTCTTGACAATCTCATTTTTATTATTAGCTCTACTGGTCAGAGAACAGAAGAGCTTATGCAATAGTAATGCGTCCGGCGTCCGTCCGTCTATCTGTCTGTAAACAATTTTTCAAAATGCTACTCCTCCTACAGTTTTAGTCTGATTTCAATATAAATTGGCACAAAGATAGACTACACTAAGATGCATAATTCTGTGAATCAGGTTTTGATTTCAATGAACGGTGTTGCCGTGGTTACTATAAATAGAAATTTTTGTGAAATACTTTTAAAATGCTACTCCTCCTACAGTTTGGTCTGATTTCAATATAACTTGGCATACAAGTAGACTAACTAAGATACATTATTCTTTATATCGGTTTTTGATTTTGATGACCGGTGTTGCCGTGGTTACTAAAAATAGAAAATTCTGTGAAATACTTGTAAAATGCTACTCCTCCAATAGATTTGGTCTGATTTCGATATAACTTGGCACACAAGTAGACTACACTAAGATACATAATTCTGTTTATCGGTTTTTGATTTTGATGAATGGTGTTGCCTTGGTCACTAAAAATAGAAATTTTTGTGAAATACTTTTAAAATGCTACTCCTCCTACACTTTTGGTCTGATTTCAATATGACTTGGCATACAAGTAGACTACACTAAGATACATAATTCTGTATATTGGTTTTTATACGCCCGTCTTAAGATGGGACGTATTATGTTATAGGCTTCGTGTCCATCCGTCTGTCCATTCCTGTCCGGCTCATAACTTGAATACTATTAGGCCTAAAATTATCAAACTTTGTCAACTCATACTTCTTGGGTAGACGGTGTGTCGCGCACAAAAAATAGGTCGCTCTGACCTTTAATAAAGATGCTATAGCCAAATATGGAAAAATCCTGTCCGGCTCATAACTAGAAAACTATTAGACCTAGAGTTTTCAAACTTAGCAAAAGTATACATCTTAAGTAGAAGGTGTGTCGCGGCCTATTTTAAGGTCACTGTGACCTTTAATTATAGTGAATTTTTTTAAAAAACTAAGTCTTTTAAATTCTGAATTTCATAATCCTAAAAAATGTAAAAATATAGTTGTATGCTTATTAAAAAACGTTAAATTAAGTAAAAACTTGTTTTTTCATTACCGGTATATACTTTACAGCAATCTGTAACAAATGTTTATGCTTTGAGAGGAATTCAGTTTGTCCCATGGGCTTAATTATCAAGCACTGGTCAAGAAGAATTTTGATAGCAGAAATTTGCATGTCAAATTAGAGAGAAATTAATGAGTTTATTGTCAGGAGCTAAGAGCCCTCTAGATCTGATGCAGATTTTATCTTAATTTATCTCTTGGGAGTTGGGCAAAAAGAAATGGCCTCATAGTTGCTTGTGCTAATTAAGAGTTCTTGATGGCTAGTCCAGATAAAGATCTTTCAAAAGGTGTAATGAAATTAAAACAAATTGATGTTTTAGTGTATGATTAAAACTAAATTAGTATTGTATAATGTGATTAAAACTAATTATATATGTGTTCATTTTAAAAAAAAAAATTATATTTCAATTTTTATATATTTGCAACAAAGATTCTATAGCAAAATATGGAAAAATCCTGTCCGGCTCATAACTAGAAAACTATTAGACCTAGAGCTTTCAAACTTAGCAAAAGATTACATATACATCTAAAGTAGAAGGTGTGTCGCGGCCTATTTCAAGGTCCCTGTGACCTTTAATTAAAATGAATTTTTTTTAAAAACTAAGTCTTTTAAATTCTAAATTTCATAATCCTAAAAAATGTAAAAAAAAAATATAGTTGTATGCTTATATTAAAAAACGTTAAATTAAGTAAAAACTTGTTTTTTCATTATATACTTTACAGCAATCTGTAACAAATGTTTATGCTTTGAGAGGAATTCAGTTTGTCCCATGGGCTTAATTATCAAGCACTGGTCAAGAAGAATTTTGATAGCAGAAATTTGCATGTCAAATTAGAGAGAAATTAATGAGTTTATTGTCAGGAGCTAAGAGCACCTCTAGATCTGATGCAGATTTTATCTTAATTTATCTCTTGGGAGTTGGGCAAAAAGAAATGGCCTCATAGTTGCTTGTGCTAATTAAAGAGTTCTTGATGGCTAGTCCAGATAAAGATCTTTCAATAGGTGTAATGAAATTAAAACAAATTGATGTTTTAGTGTATGATTAAAACTAAATTAGTATTGTACAATATAATTAAAACTAATTATACATGTGTTAATTGAAAAAAAACATATTTCAATTTTTATATATTTGCTACAAATTGCAGTCATGTCTCACTAGTATTATTTATTATAATCAATCCCTACACTGTAAGTCTCTTAGAGATGTATAATAAGAAATGGAAAATAGATAATTGAAATCTGTGTCAATCTGTTAATCAAGGCTACCTGATTTTCTTGCATCCTTACCAATTTATGATTATTGAACAATATTTGACGGGCGTATCATGATGTGGCGGGGCACTTTATTGATTTCAATGAATGGTGTTGCCTTGGTTACTAAAAATAGAAAAATTTCTGTAAAATACTTTTAAAATGTTATTCCTTCTATACATGTAGTTTTGGTCTGATTTCAATATAACTTGGCACACAAGTAGACTACACTAAGATACATAATTCTGTTTATTGGTTTTTGATTTCGATGAATAGTGTTGCCATGGTTACTAAAAATAGAAATTTTTGTGAAATACTTTTAAAATGCTACTCCTCCTACACTTTTGGTCTGATTTCAATATGACTTGGCATACAAGTAGACTACACTAAGATACATAATTCTGTATATTGGTTTTTGATTTCAATGAATGGTGTTGCCTTGGTTACTAAAAATGGAAAAATTTCTGTAAAATACTTTTAAAATGTTATTCCTTCTATACATGTAGTTTTGGTCTGATTTCAATATAACTTGGCACACAAGTAGACTACACTAAGATACATAATTCTGTTTATTGGTTTTTGATTTCGATGAATAGTGTTGCCGTGGTTACTAAAAATAGAAATTTTTGTGAAATACTTTTAAAATGCTACTCCTCCTACAGTTTTGGTCTGATTTCAAAATAACTTTGCACACAGGTAGACTACACTAAGATACATAATTCTATTTATCGGTTTTTGATTTTGATTAACGGTGTTGCCGTGGTTACTAAAAATATAAAGTTTTGTGAAATACTTTTAAAATGCTACTCTCCTATAGTTTTGGTCTGATTTCAGTATAACCAAGCACACAAGTAGACTACACTAAGATACATAATTCTGTTTATCGGTTTTTGATTTCAATGAAGGATTTGTTGCCGTGGTTACTAAAAATAGAAATTTGCGTGAAGTACTTTCAAAATGCTACTCCTCCTACAGTTTTGGGCTGATTATAATATAACTTAGCATGCTATTAGACTACTCTGAGATACATAATTATCAGTTTTATGTTTTTGCTTTTGATGAACGATGTTGCCATGGTAACTAAAATTGAAAATTTTGTAAAATTTTATCAAAAGCTACTCGTACAGCTGTAATCTTATTGCAATCTTGCCACAAAATGAGACCTAATCAAGGATCGTTATTCTATTTATTCTTTTGTAAAGTGCTACTTTTTCTTCCTTTTTATAAGTACAAACCAGTAGAGCTACAGTCTCAACAGAGACTTCTGATATAGTTTGCAAGATATTTATACTGAGCAGCAAGCCCTTTACAAGGAATATTAAATTAATGTGCCCCCTTGCAACAGTGACATGGGCTGGGACTGAGTTCATGGTCATATATTGCAAATACTTTACAGTTTCCTTTACTGTTTAACTTCTAAAATCAAGCTGCATGACAGTGATAAAAGATTTAAGAGTCTTTTCCAAAACATGATTTGTCATAAGTGTAGACTAGTTTCATGTAAGCTCATGGTGCTCATACCCCATTGATGATACTCAAATGACTGTCAAGGTTTAATGGCCTCTTGAGGACTGTTACACGTATTTTTAAGGCAAAATTATAGAGGCCACATACTTCTATGTAAACTGATTTAAATGCCTCAAATGAGTCGTTCAAATCACAAAAATTAATAAGTTCAAAAGCAACTAATTTGATTATAACTTGAATTTCAAGCTGTGTTCATGAAAGGGCATTATTGCATTTGTATGATTTATAATGTTTTTAAAAAAACTTCACTTGAGTGAAATGCTTAAGTGAGCTTTTCTGATCTTATTTTGTCCGACGTCCATTGTCTTTCTTTAAATTTTTCTCAAGAAGCATAAGGCCAATTTCAGACAAGCTAGCAGCATTCTTGAATGAAGGGGATTTTAATCAGGAAGTGCAACACCCTCTTTCAATGGGAGACAATTCAGAATTTCTTGTAGATTTAAAAATCATCTTAAGACCACTGGGCCAGAAATTATATTAAAGTTAAATGTGAAAGCTTCATTACCATCTGTAGCTTCAAGTTTGATCAAATTAGGACTCTACAGCAAGTCAATATTTTCCATTTAATTTTATAGAAGCATACTCAGGTATTGTAAATTTACTTTTTTTCCCTTCAAATAAGAAAATATGACCTCTGTGGGAAGGAAGGGGATCAATGGGTGATCAAAGTTTTATGTAAGAGTATTAGGGAAAAAATCTCAAGAAATAGTTTAAAATATATTTTATTCATAGAAATGGATTGAACCTTTCTTTCTATATATATATATATATATATATATATATATATATATATATATATATATATATATATATATGTATGGAAGCATCCTCAGGTAGTGTAAATTCAATTTTTGTAAATCTTGACCTTTTGGGGTAGGATGGGGCCACAATAGGCAGTTATGAGTTTTACATAGGAATACATTGGAATAAAGAAACATCTATCATGAACAAGTATGCTGTGGTTATGTATAATGTTATGGAAGCATTCTCAGGTAGAATAAATTCAAGTTTGTCAGCCCCCTCAACCCCCATTACCCATACAAAACCTTTTCAACACTGAACTTGTTTCTGCTTTTTCTAAGCCAGTGTGCTCAGGTGAGCAATGATGTCCATGAGACTTGTTCCTTGAAATGATACCTTTGCTAGCCCAGGGTTTCTGATCCTAACTCTTACAATTAAGGTGAGTAGTGGATCAGAAACTCGGTTATCAAAAATGTATAATTACATGAATTACTTTTTTTTTAAAAGAGACATGAAAAGGAAAACTCAATATGAAAACTTTTTTTAAAAAAATTGTTTACATAATTTGGCTAGAATTTTTTGCATGCATATTCAAGAGTATATGTTAAATTAAGTATTATAAGAATTGATCTTGTATGCCTATAAGGGAACACAATTTAAACTAAATGCTGTCATGAGACAGTAATACCCGCACTAAGGTGTTTGCCTCTAAATACACAATCCTACGGGCGGCTTACCAAGGAAAAAGTCAAAATAATTCTATATAATTCAGGCACGTAGCATCGTTTTTGAAAGTGGGGGGGGGGGGCAACCTGAGAAAATTTTTTTTACTAACCTAAAAAAATTAACAAGGAAAAAAAATGAAATGGGGGGGTGGGGGTGGGGGGGGGGGTGGCCACTTTTTTTTCAAGGCAAAATTACTTTCACTTCCAATTTTTCCCATATTTCCTTGCAATGTATATACTGTGGTTAAAAGTGGGGGGAGGGGGCAACCATCTTTTTAATGGACATTTTCTTATAGTACAGGTAATGTTGGTAAAAAAAAGGGGGGCAGCCCCCCCAAGCCCCCCCCCCTGGTTGCTACGTGCCTGTAATTTACATATGTATTCATAAAATTGGGTATGAAATTATCCCTGTGACCTATAACTCAGAACCTCTTATATTTATTTTACATGCTTAATTCATTATATACCAGTTTGAATTCTATTAATAATGTAAATTAGATTTTGATAAATGTTTTGCTCATATTAGGACCTTTTTAAATTTACTAATCCCCCCCCCCCCCCTCTCGACACCACAATCACACAGTACAGTGGCGCCTCATTTATCCGGACGCTTTGGTTCCCAGGCAAATTGTCCGGATAAGTGAAGCGTCCGGATATCTGAATTCTATTGATTTCTCTTCCAGGTATACTGTATTTGTATTCTAACTCATACATAAAGAAAGATAAATGCTATCATATAATAATTCATTTTTTTTTTAAAACTATATCTTTAGTATACATCAGCACTACTTTTACACTTTTTTTTCAAATATGATAAATATTTTTATAGCTAAAAACTAAATGCCGACTCGCGCTCTCTTTGCCGGTGGTGTAGACATGGTTGTAGCTGGAGAGCAGAATGACAAACATTGGATATAACGCTGCTTATATGGGCAGATTTTTCATTACCCAGCTTAGTTTTTAATTTCTACTTCCTATAAATTGATGAACATAGCCAAGCGAATTCTCTCATTTGCAGCTTTGATTACACCCAAGCGAGCTGTCAGTATCGAGTCTAATTTTAATTTTAACACTCATCCACGGTAAATCTGACATAATAAAAATTCACGCAGTAATCATCCCAAGCGAACTCATTGATTGTCTAAAATTATTCAAATTTTATTGAATGTTTTAGGTTTTTTTTTTCGATGAGAACTGCCACCAATCTACAGATGAAAATTACAATACCGATTTGTGTGTGCACATGTGTAGACTACGAGATTATGAAACTATGTTGTCCCGTCTATAAATAGAAAAATATTTAAAACCAGCTCTGTACTAAAATTATAAATATCTCGCAGATAACAAATAACTGAATAGAAAATTGTTTTCTGTTACCAACACACTTAATTGTTTATTTTCATTTGTGTATGACTGTATCGATCTCTCGTATATTATGACCATATCCACTTAGCATGCTTAATCTGTGGACTAATCATCGTAAGTCATTCATAACAGGTCACAGGTGATCGTCTTGTAAAAACAATCAATCCGGCCAGTGTTTTGATAACAATTATCACTCAGTTCAGGCGTGAATGTTGACAAGAATGGAAGTACAAATTAAAATTTACCGTCCGGATAAATGAAACAATTTATAACGTAAAAATACATTTTGTAGTAAAAAAGAGCCGTCCGGATACGGAACGCGGAATTCCGGATAAATGAGTCAAAATTACGTTGAAAAAATCCGTTCCCGAGAAAAATCGTCCGGAAGGTGAAGCGTCCGGATATCTGGCGTCCGGATATCTGAAGGTCCACTGTACATACTTTTGGGAATAGGCTAGATGGAACAGTTTTGTTAAAACAGTGTTTGTTATGAATTAATTTAAAATTTGTTCTTGACATGTAAATTCTACATCACATCACGTTGCGTCACCCATTATCATATTTTTAGATTAAACTCCATTCGGTACACCTCGGCCGATTCCCACTTCATCTGATAAGGTGACGGAATCGACGGCACGGAGGTTTTCCGAATGGAATATCATTATAACATGCTGCAGAATGGTGTGCTTTGGATTAATTCATTTTGTGTTATAATTGGATTTATATTTCATGAAGTTTACAGGACCTATGGAGGTCGGTAAGTACAAGTTTAAGTATAGTGGGGGTAAAATAAACCCAAACGATTAGGTTAAAGTTCAAAAAGGGTCAAAGATCATCGCATGCCACACTAGACGAATTTCATATTGTGAAGTTATCTCCCCTTGTCGATGTGACATTCAGTTACTGCCAATACTGGTGCGGATCCAGAATTTTTTTTCGGGAGTAGGGAGGGGGGTTCACATCTCAGTCAAAATATTCATGCCTAGAATTTCCTGACAAGCAGGAGAAAAAAATCATACACTGAAAACAAATAAACAAAAAAAACCCCAATGTTTTCTTAATTAGGGGGAGGATGTCCAAAATCATTTTTTATTTGCTTCAGTATATAGTCTTGTTTAAATAACAAAGGAAATTCCAGGGGGGGTTCCAATCTCCCTACCCACTCCCTATCCCTGAAATAACAATCTATTTTGTGATTCCAATTAAATAGTATATTTTTTTCCATTTGACTAATTATGTACATATTTTGTTTCTTGTGTTTATATTATGTCTGTATATTTGTCTGCAGAAATTATAACCTTGCCCATAAGTTTTAAGTGGGATGGGCTATACAATTTGCTTCCACATTTTATAGGTTTATTTCTTGTGACAATGAAGACCTTTTATTTGGGTACCATTAATTTTTACCTCTGATCACTTGACCTAGAATACACATTTTTACAAGAAAAATACCCAACTTTAAACTTGGCCTAAATTTTGATCAGTAGGTGCTAGGGCTTTCATGCTTAACATGTGTATTCATTGTGAACTGTCAACAGGTATAAATATGTTTGACCTTGACCGTAGAGTTTGAACCACTTAAAAAATTAACCTTGGCAATTAACTTTTGAAGAGGAAGTACTAGGGATTACTTATTTCACATGTGCATTCCTTGTGACAAGACTTTTTTCTGATACCAACAATTGAACCTTTTGACCTTGACCTTTGAGTTTGACATATATTTGAGAAACTTCAACCTTCGCCATAGGCTACCAGACAGGGACATCAGTGTTTCACAAACACATCTTGTCTTCATTATTATTTGGTGGTGTCTCCATATGACGGAAAAATTTCAATGAGATATGTATTCACAACAAACAAACAAATTACTAAAGAAAATATAAAACATGAATATGTTGGTCATGCATATCTCTGCATGAAAAAAAACCCAGCTTTTCAAGTACTGCAACCATATTGTAACCCTTTCAAAACACTCATTTGAGCTTTTCTGGTTTCCATGTCATATAACGTCTGTTGTGACATGTTGTCCATCTGTTTGTCTGAAAACTTTTTACATTTTTAACTTTTCTAGAACCACTGGTCCAATTTTACCCATGCAATTCATATAGAAATATGTACATTTGTATGTCAGACTGTTCTTCTGTCTGAATAAAATTAACCTTGGTTATCACGGTCATATCTACTGAATGAGATGAGACAAGGCATTCATATTAAACTTATGTACTAGTATTTACCTGTGAGAATGGCATGGTTTTTTTTTTTTTTTTTTACATATGACCTAGAAGTTTGACCTACTTGCATAAAAATTAAATTGTTATAAATTTATCATTTTGAAAGAGAAAAGTTAGGGCATTCATATTATAATGCATGTATATTATTACCTGTGATAAGATCTTTCCAAATGAATCATGACTTTTACTCTGTGACCTTGACCTTGAAGCCTAACCTACTTTTCAAAAATGTTGCATTTGCTTATAACTTTTGATTGAGATGAGATATGACTCTCACATTTGACATTTGTACATTAATTACTCATAAAAATTCAAGATGTTTCCCAGCTTGCAATGTTTTTTTACTCTAATGTTTTACATAATTTTCAAGATATTTAACTCTCCTAAATGACTGGTCAGTGCAATGGCCGTGTAAAAAATCAGCTCCGTGAATTTGGTTAAAAAAGAGTGGCATAAGACTTTGATTTGCAAAAAAAATCTTGTCCAGGTAGTTCTTGGAAGGATATTCTTTAAGAAGATATCTTTTGTATGTGAAAATTCAGCAAATCTGGACCAAAAATGGCATCGAATTTGAAGACAAAGGCCCCTCTAACGGGAAGTACAGGTGACCTAGAAAAGACTGAAAAGTGTTCAGGCGATCAAGGTAACATTGACAAAGAGGTATCTATTGAGGCGTTTAAGAATTTGCAAGAGAGTGTAGAAGCGATCTCGTCTAATCTAAAATATGTAGCTGAACAGTCTGAGAGTAATTATGATGAAATGTATTTCATTCGATCTGAAAATACTCAGTTAAGACGAGAAGTGGATTTGTTACGTGCCATGCTTATCAAAATGGACAGGAAAATAAATCACATGGAATCCGAAATTACTGATTTACGCTCCAGATCAATGCGGGATAACATCCTTATACACAATTTTGCATACACCCAGGGTGAAAACCTAAATAAACGTGTTCCTGAAGTTTTATTGGAAACTCTAGGTGTAGAGGTTGACTTTGTACGTATTCATAGAAACAGTGTGAGGGGGGTTGTCAACTCGAGACCTGTGTCAATAACAGGAAAACTGAGGGATCGTACTAAAAAAGATGAATTGCTTCGGGCCCAGAAGGCTAAAAAAAGTGAAAATGTAAACCTCCCGTTCTTTATAACATCCCAAGAACCAGCCTCTGTAGTAGAGGAACGTAAACGTTTGTATGCAATTTCAGATTCATTGCGAAAACAAAACATTAAATCTAAGATTGAGAAGGGGGCTGTTATAATGCCGGACGGTAAAAAGTATCAGGATCCGATTCCCAAACTTGAAGCTGCTGATGCCCTCCAGATCCCCGTCGATGAAGTACAAATTCTGGATGATGTTAAGGTAGAATGTACGGAACCAACTAAGATCCGCGGATCAGAAATATTCGCCACAGGGAAAAGTGTATGTTCGGTGACAGAAGTAGAAACACTATATAAAAAAGTCTGTACTGACGCATACTCCGCTGCTGCTGACCACCGCATTCTGGTCTACAGATTTATGGAAACGAGTGGGAGACTGTGTGAGGGATACTGGGACGACGGTGAACATGGTGCGGGACGTCGGCTTCTGCAATATATGCAGTCAAACGAGATACTCAATGCCGGTGCTGTCATAACCCGTTGGAGTGGTCCTGTTCGACTGGGACAAGAGCGATTCAAGATTATGGAGGACCATCTTTGTGATTTAGCAAATCTGATACAAGGGTAATGGTAAAGCAGATTTAATAATGTGCTTATCAAGGTAAAAAATGAACACTGAAATATACTTTATTTGACTTATGAGCTTTCCGGAAATTGTAAATTTACGTTAAAACTTGTTGTGCTTTCCGGAAAATTAAAACGTATTACATTACGGTTCTTCGATTTACTATGCATATGTTGATATCCGGTGACATAATTTTTGTATACATCGTGTAACATGTATGTTTATCTTGCTTTATCTAAACAATTTTCACTCTTATTCTACCAAATTTAACAATGAACATGACTCATAATAACAACTTCTTTTTCTGTCTTCTTCTATTCCTTTCTTATTCTATCTCTTTGTGCTTTCTAACCAACAATCTACTCGCGGATGATGAGGGGTGTATATTGTCAACACAGGGGAAAAATTGCCTTTTAATTCAAATTTTTTTTGAAAATGAAATATGTCAGAAATTAAAATAATATCTACTAACTGCCAGGGGTTGAACGATACGAAAAAAAGAAAAGATGTTTTTCAGTACTTCCGACAACAGAAGTGTAATATTCTATGCTTGAGTGATACACATTTTACTGATGAAATGGAACAAAATATAAGAAATGAATGGGGTTATGAAGCTCGTTTTAGCTCATACACTTCGAAAGCTAGAGGAATAGCCATTTTATTTAACAATAATTTTGACTTTGTAGTCCATGATCAAATGTTAGATGATTCTGGCAATTTTCTTGCATTGAACTTAACAGTTGAAAATAGGAAAATAAGTCTGATATGCATATATGGACCAAATGAAGATTCTCCAGAATTCTATGAGAATTTGTCAGAGTTAATAACCAAATTTGACAATGAAGTTATTATTGTTGGTGATTTTAATTTAGTATTAGACCCAAACAAAGATTATTTCAATTACTTACATATTAATAACCCAAAAGCCAGAAAGAAATTACTTGAACAAATAGATAGTCATAATTTAATAGATATTTATAGAGAGTTCCACCCAGAAGCAAAAAGATTTACTTGGAGGAAACCAAACCCTTTGAAACAAGCACGCTTAGACTTTGCTCTTGTATCCAACTCATTGTTGACTGATATACAAAATTGTGAGATTCTTGGAAGTTATAGATCAGACCATTCACCAATTTTACTGACCCTTAAGTTTAATGATTTCTTACATGGGAAAGGTTTATGGAAATTTAATAGTTCTCTTTTAAAAGACCCAAAATATATTGAAATCATAAATGATGTTATTGATCATGTTAAAACACAATATGCATTGCTGGTTTACAATGAAGCCAGCATTAAGGAAATATCCAATTCTGAAATACAATTTACTATAAATGACCAATTATTTTTAGAGACACTCCTAATGGAGATAAGGGCAAAAACAATTTCATATGCAAGTTATATCAAAAAGGAAAGGGTAAAAAATGAGAAAGACCTAATTGAGGAAATTACTGAACTGGAAAAAAATTATGACAACAATGTAACTAGTATTGCTGAGAAGAAAAAAGCATTAGAATCAATAAGGCAACACAAGCTTATGGGGAATATGATAAGGTCAAGGGCAAAATGGACTAGTGAAGGGGAAAAACCAACAAGTTATTTTTTAAATCTTGAAAATAGACATTTTACAAATAAGATAATACCAAAAATTATTAAAAGTGAAAATAATGAGGAAAGGGAAATAACAAAGCAATCTGAAATTCTAGAAGAAGTTGAAAAATTTTACAAATCATTATACTCAGTTCAAATATTAGAGAATGTTGATTTGAATCTTAAAGAATCCCTTGAAGAATGTAATGTCCCTAAATTAGATGATACTGAACGTTTGCAGTTGGAAGGTGTTATTTCATATAGTGAAGCCTTATCAGTATTAAAGACAATGTCTAATAACAAAAGTCCAGGTAGTGATGGCTTCACAGCAGAATTTTTTAAAGTATTTTGGAGAAATTTGGGTCATTTTGTAGTACGCTCTTTGAATTATGGTTATGAAATAGGCGAATTTTCTTCTACACAAAAGCAAGGAATAATTACTTGTATACCAAAAGAAGGAAAAAGTAAATTTCATCTCAGCAATTGGAGACCAATATCACTGCTAAACATTATTTATAAAATTGGATCAGGATGTATAGCAAACAGATTAAAACAAGTTTTAACCAAAATAGTTAGTTCAGATCAAACAGGTTTTATACCTGGGAGATACATCGGAGAGAATACACGTCTTGTATACGATCTGATGCACTACACAGAATTGCATGATATTCCTGGAACATTAGTCATGATAGATTTTGAGAAAGCCTTCGACTCTGTGTCATGGACATTTATTCAAGAAACATTGGAATTTTTTAACTTTGGACCAAGTTTTTGTAATTGGATAAAAATTTTCCAAAATAATATAGTTTCTTGTGTGTCACAAGCAGGAATTTTATCTAACTTCTTCAAGTTAGGACGGGGCTGTAGACAGGGTGACCCAATTTCTCCTTATATATTTCTCTTATGTGCTGAGATACTGTCTATTAAAATAAGAAATAATGAGAATATCAAAGGAATTAAGATTAATGATACAGAGTATTTAATGTCACAATATGCAGATGACACAATGATAATTCTTGACGGCTCTGAAAAATCACTAAAGGCTACAATGCTAGTATTAGAAGAATTTTATAAAATGTCAGGTCTCAAAATCAATCAGTCAAAAACCCAAATTGTGTGGATTGGAAGTAAGAAGTATTCTGAGGATAGACTCTGCCCTGATCTGAAATTTCAATGGACAACAAACTTTAAACTTTTAGGCATTTATTATGATGTTGACTTAGCAAAAATTACAAAACTAAACTATGACAAGAAACTGGTCAAAATTAAGACCATCATAGAGCAATGGAAAAAGAGAAACTTAACTCCTATTGGAAGAATCACATTGATTAAATCATTACTTATATCACAGCTTAATCATTTATTTATTTCTTTACCAAACCCACCTGTAAGTGTTATAAAAGATCTAAACAAATTGATCTTTAACTTTTTATGGAAATCAAATGTAGACAAAATAAAAAGAAAAGTTGTAACACAAAAGTATGCACAGGGAGGATTAAAAATGGTTAATATTGTGTCCTACATAACAGCTTTAAAATCTACATGGATAAGAAAAATAATATATAACAATAACTCAAAGTGGAAAAAATTATTGGAAAATAGTGTTGAGATTGATAAACTTTTAAATACAGGATCAGAATATTTGTCACATTTACAAGAGAATGTACAAAATAATTTCTGGAGAGATGTTTTGAAAGCTTTCCAAGAAATTCAAGAGAAAAAAGAGATAAGAAATTGGCAAGAATATGCCTGTCAACCTTTATGGCATAACAACAATTTCAAAATCGAAAATCAAGCAATATTTTACAAGTCTTGGTATGCAAAGGGAATAAAATATGTATATGATCTCTTAGATGAGAATAGTAACTTCCTATCACTAGACAATATTCAACACAATTATGATTTGAAAATTAATCATTTAACTTATACAGGCATACGACAAGCGATACTTGCAGATTTAAAGAAGTATAACTTTTGTAGAAATGGATTTATTCATAAACCAGATATTCCATGTAATATCAAAGTCTTTGTATTAACCAAAAAAGGATCAAAGCCTATGTATGATATATTAAATAAATCAGTAATAAAACCTGTTGGTATGGGAAAATGGGCAAAATTTTTCACCTTGACAGATACAAACTGGAAGGAAATTTATTGTCTGCCTTTTTTAACAACCCAAAATAGTAAATTACAATGGCTTCAATACAGAATTAATCATTATATATTGACAACCAATAGTCTTATGTTTAAAATAGGTAAAACAGACTCTAACCTATGTACATTTTGTGAAGCAGAGGAAGAAACAATATTTCATTTAATTTGGCAATGTCCAGTTGTAAAAGAATTTCTAGATGGTTTTGTAAGACATTGTCATCGAAAAGACATTGTATTAAATCTAGATGGTAAAACTTTTATATTTGGAGATATAAGTAAAACAATATCATCAAAATCATTAAATATTTTGCTTATGTCAATGAAGCAATATATTTACAGAGTTCGTTGTCAACACCTTAGCCTCTCTATCCATGGTTTTCTGAATGAATTCAAACTTATTTATAAAACTTTGAAATATACAGCCAGAGAAAGTGATAAAATAGATGAGTTTAACGCCTCCTGGCAAAAATGGCAATCCATACTCTCAGACTAATATCAATAAACCCTGTCTCAAAACTAGTTTTGCTACCTACTCTATCTATAACCCACTTTCTTTTATAACATCATCTCTTTCTCTTTCTTTCTCTTGCATTCACTCTCTTTCTCTCTCTTTCCCCCCTCTCTCTCTATCTCTCTCTAAAAATGAATGCTGCAATGAAATATTGTGTTCATCTTGTATGTTTGTACTGTATAGCATTGTGGAATTCAAATAAAAAAAAAAAAAAAAAAAAAAAAAAAATTCCAAAACCTTACTGCACATCTACATGACCCCCCAAGGCAAAATCAAAATTCCAAAACCTTACTGCACATCTACATGACACCACCAACCATCTCCCAAAAGATGATTAGCCTACTGTGTAAAATGTAAGAGGAGTTCAGGGAAGACGGGGCTTTTTGCATAAAAAACGTCATTTTTCGACCCCCATGTGACCCCCCCAGGCAAAATCAAAATTCCAAAACCTTACTGCACATCTACATGACACCACCAACCATCTCCCAAAAGATGATTAGCCTACTGTGTAAAATGTAAGAGGAGTTCAGGGAAGACGGGGCTTTTTGCATAAAAAACGTCATTTTTCGACCCCCATTTGACCCCCCGGGGCAAAATCAAAATTCCAAAACCTTACTGCACATCTACATGACACCACCAACCATCTCCCAAAAGATGATTAGCCTACTGTGTAAAATGTAAGAGGAGTTCAGGGAAGACGGGGCTTTTTGCATAAAAAACGTCATTTTTCGACCCCCATTTGACCCCCCGGGGCAATATCAAAATTCCGAAACCTTACTGCACATCTACATGACACCACCAACCA